AGGTGAACAATCATGAAACAGAGATGATATACTTTTTTTTTTTTTTTTATCTAAACCCAGTGTTACTGAGGATGACATGTAGCAGAAGAAGATAAATAAATAAATAAGAATGAATTAAACTACAACAATACAATTATTATTTACACACACAGACAGAACACAGACAACATTAACTGAGTCAATGTTTGGTGTTTGTTGTACTTCATATGAAGAAGAAAGCATGCATGCGTGTGCATATTTGTACATACGTGACTTTTTTGCACATTCCAAACTCAGCGTGCGCCCGTGCGGTGTGTCCTTCTGTGTGGGTGAGTGGATGGCAGCTGGGAGGCAGACAGTGTCCAGAAGAATCATCACCTAGCAACTGACCTTTATGGCAGATGGCAACTCCAGAGTAACAGCCACCCAGCATCACAAAGGGCTAGGCCTCCTAACAACTCCATCACTTCATCATCCACAGGCCTGCCATGACCTGTCAGACCAGAGACAAGTAAAGTCATAATTATGGAAATGGCCACTAACGAGTAGGGCAGTGGGCTAAGGTTTACAAGGGGCTATTTTAAGATGTTCTTTCCTGTTTCATACCAACTTTATGATACAGAGACATACTCCTACTGAAAATTACTGATAAGGAACGACATGATATCAAATTTCAAGTTTCCATGTTCGGAAGGAGCATCTAAGTATAGAGGATGCCTTGCAACAGTTATCCATTTGCTTGCTTGACCAAGGACTGTTTCAGAGTTTGATTTTCTAACTTAACCATTAACTTTTAACTGTGGCATACAAAGTTATAAATTAGAGACAATATAATTAATATTGCTATTGGTAATATTGTGGGATTTTTTTTGCCAATCATTAATATATATGATACATGTTTGTTTGTTGTTTTGCAAATATCTCTGTCACTTTCTCCTTTTAAGAGGTGGCTGTATGTCTTCATAATCTTCAAAAAACAATACTGATTATTCTGTCTCAGATAAATATATGTTGTTATTATTTTTAACAGAGGTCAATCATTCACCCTTACAAAAGAGCTACAGCTCACTGGGTATAACCTGGTTTTAATAAAGCTTAACAAAAGCTAATCTGTGATCTTTACATTTTGGTTAAACAGCTTTAGGCCACAATAACAACACAAAGATTGGATACTGGTGTCCAGACCATCCCTACTTAAAACTTCAGAATCTCTGTTTCATCTAAAAATCACCTTATTGCATACCTATGGCTATGTGAAAACACTAAAAATGGGACTTATTAAAAGAGGTTAAATGTCTTTTCAGAATTTACTCACTGATCTGACTTTATAAAGAGATGACAACAGGGCAGAAACCAGTCCAGACAACTCCAAACCACTGCTTTTGGTTGTTCCGGTTTTCAGCACACTATTGTGAATCAGGGTGTGGATAGACCGCTTTAGCACTTAGAGCTGAGAGTCTGGTGCCTGTGGTCAGGCTCAGTGGTGCCTGTGTCCAGCACAAAGAGGAAGCCCTGTAGTAGAGGTATGACAGATTGAACTTCATCAAATACACAAGGTTTTGTTATAATGATAGCAAGAGAGTTAGAAGGCACTTAGATCTATGTATTCTTTCACTCTTTAAGAATTTATTCAAATTGATGGAACCTAACCCTACTCTAGAGCCCAAGAATGTATTATTATCAATATAATTCAATCACCTCACCATTATCATTATTAATCAATCACCTTTGTCAAAAAGGGTAATATTTCTTGGCCTGTAAGAGCAATGCAAACAGATATTTGAATAACGGCTTATATAAAAGACAGTTAGACATTAATATAAAACATCTGCGAAGCTAACAGACGAAACACTTCCTGTTCAACTAAATATAAAAAAGGCAATAAAACAATTATGCCATATAGTGAGAACTACAAGTCTTGCAGGTAACTGAAATGATAGATAGGGTTTAGTAGGTAAACATTCTGGGTACACTGCAGCAATGTTCAATTAAGACCCATTATATATAGATGATTAAATTAAGTTTCTAAGCGACTGGACAACAGACAGTTTGATTGCATTTGATTTTACGTAAACAGCATATAGCTTTGCATATTTCTGCTAAATTGTATTTGTTCAGATTCTGATTTGAGAGAAGTTTAATTTGAAATTATTAGTTAGTGCCACCTTTACAGTACTTACAGTATTTACAGCACTTCCCCTATAGGCAAAACCACATTTTGGTGATTTTTGGTGATAGATATTATGAATGTTAGCCATTAACATTCATATAATAGCATTATAATTCAATATTAATCAAGAGCTGAACAATATATAGAATAAAACTCTATTTGAAATTACAGATCAAGACGTCCCAAAACGGTCTGCTGTACATGTGTAACTCTACCATGGGATTATTGACCTGTTGTATTACTGAAACAGGGGAAGATAGATCTGAGTTGATAGTTGGTTTTAATTATGAGTTGTATTGTACAGCAGCCATGGGTGAGTGTTCAACACTGACACAGACATACAAGAATGTTTCTCTGATGCACTTTAGAATCAGAGTGGTTTAAGAGAGTGGGACTATGACACATTCTTCTGTGACTGGATGTGACGGAGACATACATCATTGTTCAGACGTTGGTTCACAGCTCCAAACAAAGACTGTACACAAATCTCATCTAATTCATCTTACAGCAACTTTGGAAACTGAGATGCCACAACATACACTCATCTTTGGCAACCTGGTGAGATATGACTACTTCAACAGCTAATGGATACAGCTTATGTGGTCAAAAAAATTATCCACCCAATATGTTATATTTTTGGGAAATGAGAAAAGTACATTTCACTTTCATAAGGAATGTATGACTGTGCATGTTTGTCTGTGCACACAAAAGCTTTTCTTCTGCAGCTCCATCCACATTATCCAGAGCATGTGGCTGCCAAGGCCTGTAAAGAAGACATTTCTGTTGGCATCTGTTTTTAAAGGCAGTGACATAGGGGACAGCCAACCACAGGAGCCACATATCTCCAGATCTACATGCATTCTGAGGATTGCTTGCATAACAGAGACGCCCAACTCTCTATTCTCCCTCTCTCTCTCTCCTCTCTTCCAAACACACGTTTTTTCTTTCTTTTTACCGCTCACACACATGTAATATTGGTCCCACCCTTCGTTGTTTAAATGCAATATATGCACCAAAGTTTAGGGGTCTAATCACTTCCAGAGGTATGCCATGTCTAGTTCTAACAGCTTTGGGATTCATTTTAGCATCCTAAAAACTACAATATTAGAATTATTGTTATATTACTGGGTGTAATTGTCTGACGATCATACAAATATAGCTGCTATAACTATCCCCACAACTACATCTATTATGACTTTCCCCAGTAAACAAAATTAGAATATGTTTAAGATTACCAATACTGGGTTGACGAATAGAGTTTTAAGATGTAGCACTGACTACAGAAAGATAAGAAAGGAAACTGTCTTTATATTAAAACTTACCGTAGGTCTCCTCTACAAACTCACAGTCAGTTTGTCCCCATTTGCCATCCTCACATTCTTGTATAATTGAAATGTCACAAAGACTGAGTCAATTAACAACATATGGGAAGAGTAGAGTAGCTCAACAGTGGTTTTCTGTGTGGGGAGGCAGACTGAGACTCACACAACTTGTTACTATTCTTTGCGCCTATAGTTCCTTCAGATGTACTTTGGTATGTAAACAAGTAATTAAGTTTGGCTTCATCTGGTTCAATTTTAAATGATATTGAGGTGGTACAGATGGCAATTAAAAGCATTTGTAATCAGAGGGAAAAATCTACATCAGGTGGATAAAACATGATTCGTCCAACGTGTCTGGTACACTGTTTCCATGTTGAGAAAATATGAGGGCTAGATTATTTGTGAAATCATAAGCGTTAGCGTTCATGCGCATTACTAAGATAAAGACCTATTTCCACTTGGCTTGCTAAAACATTTTCTATTTTACCTACTTTATGGTTCCTTTGGCGCCATCTGTTGGTGTTGTCTTCTTTAAGTACCAAGCCCAAATAGTAACTGTGGAGCCAAACATGTTCAAATGTCAAAAACAAAAAACAAAATAAATTGGCTACAGCAAAAGAAACGTTGTACGCTACAATTACCAATGCTAAAACAACAGATGCATGCCCTAGTTTTGAGACTTTGTAGATTATATTAATAATCCCAGTTTGTTAATTAAATAATTTACACATTAATTTAGTAAAGACAAGACAGTAGAATATTATGGTTGTGCAGACCTCACTCAGACGATCCATAGATTGTATAACGATATTTACAGTCTATGAGACGAACGCACGGCAGCCACAGTGATGGATACTTCCATATATAGCGCCGGAGCTACTAACTGTCCTGGTGTAGTGTGCCCCCTGTCGGTTTACATGATCCACCACAACAAGACTCTGCAGTAGCTCCATGAGTGCATTCTGCAGACTCACTGACTACGAAATTCTAAACCATTGGGGGAGTTGTTTATGTTTGCAATAAATGTGATCTTTTCATTTGTAAAGCCCCCAGTCAATGGAGAATGAGCTCTCAACGAATTTTAAATAACCCCGACAGGCCAGGAGCCTCGACCACACGGTGGCGGTAAAACGTCTGTTCAAATAAGCAAAAGAAAAGTTGGCAGAAATAATATTTTTGTTTCATCGGTGTTAACAAATTACTTAACATTTGCTTTATTTAGTCAACAAATGAGCTCAAGCTGTTGACTAACCAACATGATGAAACTACCAAACATCCAATACAAAGATAAGGTGCATATAGAGCCATGATATAGCCAGATAAAATCATTGGTCTGGCAATGGACATGCTTCTTAAAACCAATGCTCTTGCCAAGTTGCCACACTGTCCAATAACTCATATTTAGATAAAGGTAGCCTACATAAAATTATTAAAAATGTAAGATTCTTTACTGCTATAAGGTAGTTTTTAGCCTAGATTGGGCTTTGACTTTATTCTTAATCAGTCTGAACAAAACACAAAGAAATCGCTTAGCAAACATTACTTTATTGACAGTAAAAAGTTTCCAGAATATTGAGGGGCACATTTGTAACTGCAATTACATCTTGAAAAGCAACATGACTTTGAAAGTATGAGGCAGTACATCTTACTTTGAGGTAAAGTGTTTTGTCATGTTACATCATTCACAAAATATTGAATAACACTAAAAGTCCACACAAGAAGACAAAAATCCATGCCTCATTTTCCACTGTCCGAAATAACTTCACATTTTAAAAATAATTCACAGATCAAGTAAAAGCATTATATGACAGGCACACATGCTACACTCATTCACCCAGTCTCTACTTATCAAACCAAGTGCATTTCTTATTTTCTCATAACAGTTTCAAGTACATTTTGCCTGCAAGTAAAATAAACCAAGAAAAACTATGAAGCAGCAAACCCACAAGAACACAAGAATACTGAGTTTGGTCTCATTCATTTTCCCAATAGAAACATCACCGGATAACTCACCATACGGTAGCAATAAGGTATTCAGGTGCTTTAAAGAAGCAGGAGGTAACATTTTATGGATATGAGGAATATGCTGGAAAAGATTTGGAATATAGCTGATGCAAAAACACCAAGGCTGAAACAAAACACTATATAACCACAAAGAGAAACCCAGTAAATTTAAGTTCTTTTTTAATTGTTTTTGAGGATAATTTATAATCCACCCTTGTGCCATTAATTAAAAACCAGTGCAACAGAAGAAACTTTGTCAAAATGCACTGGTGTTGCAATTTGTTTCATCGGTTATTATCCACATGCTGCATTTGACCTGCAGTACAACTAAGTAAAATGCCATCAAGTGCTTTAGCAAAAATTGATTTATCAGCAGGGAACCTAAAAGTGCAGGGCAATATAGCACCCAGGCTGTCTCAGCCGAGCTCTGTACACTCTCCGACTCAGGTCTGATCTGCACCAGTTCTCTAAGGCCCATTTTATCATTCAAAACACACTCAAGTGTAAGCCCTGAACCCTCATTTGAATTTTTAAGACAACTTTGAGACCACTTTTCCACCATTTCCTGTCTCATACATGTGCAACTGCAAAATCCTCAGATTAGAGGTCAATTCTCTCTGCTGAACCCCACTGTAAACAATATACAACAGTCCACTGTTGTAGAAGTTAAGGCAACCCAATTCTGTGCTTTGTCAATGACAAAGTCTCCTACAAGACCCAGAGGCACAAAGCTCTCAGTGCATATAAAGCTTACCTGACTCTCAACAACTTTTCTGCTATACAGTAGTAAGGGCAATTGAAAATGTACCCTTTAGTTCTTAGAATTTACTGTACATGCCACTTGTGCTCAAGATTTATTCACTACTCAGAAACCATGGCTCGGCAAGACATCAAAGCACCGCGCCTCCCTCAGTCTAATACATCTAGAGGAAATCCCCTAAAAAGGCACTTTTGAAGCAAATGAGTTTTACTAGATGATTTGATATGGGAGTGCAATCCTAAATTTGATTCCACATTCTTTTTAAAAGGTGCAATAAAAAGATCCAATATTTAGGTTCGGTTACCATAAAAGTTTGCTAACAATACATATTTAAAGCCACTATTCTGGTGCAGAGCAAACATGAGCCAACAACAGTACTGTGTTCAGCCCTCAGCCCACCTGGTGCTCTCCTCGGCTGATGTGTGAGGAGAACTCATAGCGGTCATGGCTGCGGTGGCCACAGATGTTACACTCAAAAGGCTGGCGGAAACCGTGACACCCCATGTGAATGGTGAACATGACGTGGTCCAGAAAGAGGATGCGGCAGTGGCGGCAGTGGAAGGAACGCACTGGCCGACCCTCTCTGTCTAACACCTGCATGGTCTCCCTGGAGGAGAGAGGTGAGAGAGCGCTCCTCTTTACTGACACAGGGGGGGCGGGGTTAGCTTTCACCCACATCGTGTCCACATCTTTGGCCTGGCTGGGGCTGGAAGTGGGGTGGCTGCGGGGCAGGGGGACATTGTGGTAGTGGAGGTGGTGGTTGTTAGAGGTACTTGTGGGTCCTGTAGCCCTTGTGCTCTGCTCCTCTGCTGTACTCTCTGTGTCTGTGGAGTCAGGACAGCCGTTGGGCGAGGTGGTAAGGCTATGAGCTGAGGGTTGGTCGTCCTGGCTTTCACCTGGATCTCTACCTGTTAAAGAAAGTCAGTCCACTTCCTGCATGGGCTCGTGGGCCCTGAGGAATTAAGTTGTTATTTAGGGGGCCAATAACTGACAGATAGCTGGGATAGGGTTGGGATTGTGTAGAGGGCTCATGGTTTTCTTCTTTGCTTCTCGTGCTTTGCAGAAGGGATCCACTCATCCCTACAGAGTCCTGCCCAGAGTGAGTGCTCAAGAGTTCTCCCTCCTTCTCAGAGCCTGAGGACAGTTCATAAGGTGCATCAGGTAGGTCCAGATGCATGTGCTTTTCACCTTTCATGAAGAGATGCAAAAAAAAAAGTCTATTTTTTAATCTCAGTAAACATAACTGATTATACTACTGTTATAATCTTAAAATCATACCCAAAAATTTTTGTGGTGTTGATCTTTTGCGCTTAGTCATACTAATTGACAGTCTTTCTGCAAACTGAATTTTATCATTGGACGGTTGAAGCATTGTCTTGGTTATGGTTTCCACTTTTACTGATTTGTCTTCTAAAAAAGAACAGAATGTAGTTTTATCTCATACATAATTTTATAATAATAACATTAGACAATAGGATAGTCTAACCATGTGTTGTGAGTGTACCCCCTGCTGCCTGATTGTCCAAACTCTTCAAATAATTGTGGCAGCGCTCCAGATGTTCCTCCAGTGTGCTCTGTTGTTTGTAGCTGCGACTACAATAGCTGCACTTAAAAGGTTTTCCCACAGTCGGAGAAGACACTGCATAAGAAAATATGTACAGCATATAGAAAGTACTGTATGAAAAAGCATACGCATTTCTGTTTGCGGGTATATCTTAAAGAAGAAAAAAACCGCAACACTTCATTCGGAAAATGAACTGACGTCAACTCATTACGGTTAACTAGAACTATTTCTCAGGCACGGGGGGAGTTACCAGACCTGTGAACACCTGTCATTATTTTTTAACAAAAGGATTTCCTGTTTTCAAAACCATTAAATGTCATTTTCTCAACTGCTCAGCATTCTGGTAAACAATATCACCCATTTCCTTTTGCCCTCAGGCCCTCCTTGCACTCTTTTAGGTCTTTTGAAATTTTGTTTTCACTCTTAATTTCAGCAGTTTTACTGCTAGATTGTTATTTATCCAAAATGATCATGACTAAACAAATTTAGACAATTTAGATTTCACATGATAATTAAAAAAAAAAAAAAAAAAAAAACACCAAATAGAAAAATCCACCAAATAGAAACAAAAAACTTCCTTTTAGCCCTTTTATATCCCATCAAATCTTATTTAGCTTCTTCATAGTCCGTAAACAAAAAATAGGCACCAAACGTCTTCAAGGGGGGCCAGAAAGTTATCAACATGTGAGCTACATAGTTTCAATAAGACCAAAAACCTTGTCCTGTTATTCAATACACATTTGTCAGCTTTTTGAGCCATGTTATTGTATTAGTATTGTATTTACCTGCGTGAGTCCGTAAATGCCCTGCCAGGGCATCTCTCCGGCGGCAAGCATAGTTGCAAATTGGACATTTGAAAGGCTTTTCTCCTGAATGTAATTTAATGTGCCGTAGCAGGTTACCCTTTTGAGTGAATGAGGCCCCACACTGGGTACACTGGAATGGTCTTTCACCTACACAGTTACATTTACATCTTTAAAAATCATTATTTATTTGAAAGAAATTATAACATTTGTGTTTCCCCTCTCACCTGTGTGGCTGCGCTTGTGCACCATGAGCACATTAGGTCCAATGCAGATCATGCCACACACCTCACACTGGAGTTTACCATTGGGTAAGCGGATAGGTCCAGGAGAAGTGGCATTGGTACTGGCCATTTCGCTATACACACTGACTTTGTCTCGAATAGACAAAGGGTACTCTGCACCTCCCTCATCCAAGGGATCCCCTCTGTCATTCAGCGTATCGTCCTTCACAGCCTCTGTATTCACGGGCTGAGGAGCACATGGTGACTCATCATCACTGCACAGCTCAACTTTAATTGAGTTTGCTGTATTAGAAAAATACAACACACATACACAAATTAACATACTTATTCTTAAGACAATGAAGCACAATCTTTATTAAATTATGACTACTCACTAAGTGAATGTTGAGGGGATGACCTCTGACTGTTGGGAGATTTTGAAGGGCCCTGCTGCCTGCCATAAAAGTCCTGCTCTGTTGACTCTCCTCCATTTCCTATGCACAAAAAGTCTTTAATTATTAAAGGGAATGAACAAACACAAATAGTTTAATTATACCTGCATATGTTCGTCCATTGCAGTCATCAGCATTCATTCTCTCACCAGACTTCTGTAAATAAGTGTAACCAAACTGTAAGATTTAGCCCTAATATTGTTAATTGAATAGATAAATTTCTTCTCATAGAAACCTTGAAATGAAACCTACAGGCCTACCACAAACTCTTTCTATAATGATTAAAGGAGGAGTTTTGAGGGAGGACGTCTTTTATCGATATCGCCTGCCCTACTGCAACAGTAGACAAGAAAGCCCTAAAAAGTGTTTGCTGCTGCTGAGCCATTGCGAATAAAACAGTGCCAGGAGCGTCATGCACACAGTCGGCAGTTTAGAGTTATGTCACCTACTTGGAAATGTATTGAGCGACATTTGAAGTTCAGACATTTGCCTTTTGTATGATGTTGAGGTGTAAATAGTCCAAGCGTTTTTCATTTGCATTGTGCTGCACCTTTTGCTCAAATGGATGACAACAGTGGATAGGCTACTGGAGAGGGGTATAGGCGGAGACAACTCATCGCAGGGAAATGAATATCTCGGCATTGGCCGCGCATGGAGAGCAACAGGCGCTGATGCAGCGGGAGACGCGCCAGTCACACCAGGGCACGGCGATTAAACAAGGACGCACCGCGCCAACACCTGCCTGACAACCGTCCCCACAAAACACACACCAATAAAGACAGCAACACATTCAGATGTCCTCTTGCGTTGTGTTTTGTTGGCTACCGGTTTAGCTATTAGTCAAATATGCAGACTTATGGCATTGTATATTGGCTCAAAGGCAGTCGAGGACAAAATGGCACAGTGGCCATTGGTCGAAGAGTTGCGACGGTCCAAATTGTCCGCATGAACACCGCTGTCAGCGACATCGAGGACGTCAAACTGGCCTGAGCTGTACAGTGTTTCTCATGAGCCGTTGCTATGGCACCCGACCACACGACAAATGGCATTCAGCCTCAACTATTCAAAAACATGCCGTACTTTCACATGAAACTGCATGGATGTTCTTGCCAAGCTATTATATAGAGTCTACAAACCTCTGTCTTACCTGGCGGCCGATTGCTGTTTTTCTCTCTAATTGTCTGGATAGCTGTTTGTTTTCCCAGGCGACGACAGCATCTCCGGGATTTTTTGTACCTGGGAATCCCTTCAAAACAACTTCCGGGCCCATGCTGGGATGCATACAGACCTAATGATTGTACAACAGAGCTCCTGATGCACGGATCGCCGAATGCATCGATGCATGTCATTTGAGGTCACAGGTGATGTGTGAAGGGACATGAGAATGCCTTGTTATAACACTAACATCACATGTGAAAGTGTGAGTGAGTAGTAGGCTCTAACAGGGAATTTTGTGGATCAACGTGTTGTTGGTTAGTGCATGATTGTACAGAGTCTGATTTGTAGGCTATGAGCAGTAATTCTGAAAAGGGCTATATAGATATGATATCTAGTTCTGGAAATGCTGGTCATAAAGTAACTATTGACAACATAAAGCCTGATCTAAGTGCTTTTGGGGTCATTTCATTGCATATTCTAGTAACTTGCATACTAAATAAAACAATGTTTATTTTTGCTTGTTTATTGAATCTGTTTAGGCAACAATAAAGAACATGATAATGATGATAAAACAAACACTACACTGCCACAAGATGGCAGCAAATTGTTTTATGCCTGTAACAAATGAAGACGTTGCAATAATAGGATAAAAGTTGTAGTTGGAATTATTACTATGTAATTGGCTAATAGAGCTTTCCATATGATTTTTGACAGTTAAAAAAGGCATGCAACTATCTAAATCTGTGGGGTTTATGACGCCTCAACAAGAGTTGATAAGCCTCATGGATCTTCACAAACATGGCTTCAGCCTCCTTGTTTGGGTTGTGGTCTGGGTGCCACGTCTTAGCCAGCTCTCTATAACTCCGACTTATTTCTTCTAGTGTAGCTTCTCCTTTTAATGACAGTATCTACAAAAAACAAACAAACAAACAAATAAATAAATAAATACATACATAAATAATATGTTTTGTCTAATTTGTTAGTAGAGCTTATGCATTTTCTTTTACAAAGATCAACACCTATACAGACACAATCAAATTTTTTTAGACTAAAGCAATACACTTTTTAGAACTATATTTTGGGTCACAAATTTCAAAGGAACAATTTAAATGATTCCAATTAAAATCCTTATCTTGGTCATTTCTGTTAGAAATGAGATCTCTGATAAAGAGTAAGGTGGCTTTTTAAAATAAAATAATATAAAATGAGCAAGTCTAAGTACTGCATGTGGTGCTGTGTGCAGATCAATCTACCTTTTGAGCCTCTATTTAGAAAGTACAATGACATTTCCTGACCTTTAATGCTTCTCTTTCTTTCTCTGTGTATTCTTTGAGCAGTATTTCCAGCACCCTCCTCCAGACCTCATCATAGTACCCTCCTCCAGTCAGTGCACACAGAATCCTGTATGGCATCAGAAGAACGTACTCCAGCACATTTCTGAGCCAAGGTACAAACCAGAACACATCCAGAAGTGCCGACAGACAGTCCGACAAGAAGTACAGTGTAGCTGTGGTGTTGTGGAAGATACCGTAGCCTACAGGAGCAGAAAAGGCCAGCCATGCTAACCCAAGGTAGTAAAGACGAGGTACTGAAAAGAGATAAAGTGATTATATGTCTTGTTCAGAAGACAAATTCAAAATACCTTTTGAGAAGATATTAAATGCATATTAGTCTTGTCAAAAGAATTTTAAAAAATCTGAATCTAATCCATACTAAAGCTAATATCGATACTAGATACTTAATTGAACAAGTTTTGATACTAAAACAGGAGAAAATATGACCTTTCTTAACAGTTTTAGAATTGTCTTGAGCTTATCAGAAACAGTATGAGATCCCATGGTAACATAAAATATTATATATATATTTAGTATCAAGTCTGTTCATGTTAAAATCAAATTTGAAATGTTAGTATCATGACAACACTAAAATATTTTGCAATAAACTACTTAAGTAAGTTTCATTATATTGTCATTAACAGTATAAGTACTAACAATTAACTTATTACTACTAATCTCTGCAGTCAACAAAATGCACAATTTTGAGGGGTTATCTTACCTAGGTCTTGTTTGGGCTGTATTGGTTTATATTTTCGATTCTTTGAAGCAGTGACACTTGCAGCCACACTAATAGGGACAAGTGATAGTGTACTGCCATAGAAAATAGGGGACGTTATTAGACAAGTTGTCAAAGTTTTTTTAAAGTCTGATGTTTGCTGACCCACTGTAGACACAAGGTGTACTCCAGCACCCACAGACAAAGGAAGAACTAGTAAGTAGAAAAAGCTGAAAGTATTAAGTCCAAGCAGAGCCATTGTACCAAAGTAGATCCCAACACACACCTGTCCAGTAAATCTGACAGGGCCTGCTGGTGGGAGAGCCAGTGGATGATGCTGGTAATGTTTTTTCAATCTCTCTGTGTCTTGATTGGCCTCAGCAACATATGAAGGTATACGTATAAACTCTCTGACCCAGCCCAGGCCAAATCCTCCTAGGGTTACCATCCACAACAATGCATGACTGTCTCTTTGTAAATATATGTGGTGAAGTCCCAGTGGGCCACCAAGAGCCCATAGCGCATAGGCCACCATCACACTCTTAGGCATTCTCTGGATTAAATGAATTATGAATGTAAAATATTTCACATCCTTTGCATTTCAGACCTACAACAGAAAAAAATAACATGCAAAAGCATTTAAAACATAATGAAATCGTTATTGATTATCTTTAGTTCTAATTAGATAAAATACTACTCTTAGATCTTACAACAGTTATGGTCCCTTGTTTGGCTAAGGTTCATATTAAATGTGTTATATAATGTTGAACTCAATAAGTTTGAAACCTCTGCACAGTGTCATTATTTTTCAGAACTTTCAGACAGATTAGTTGGACAGAAGTATTTATTTGTTTCTATAGCTAAGCCCACCATGCTGATTTATCAGAAACAGTATGATATGGCCACACTACACAAACATTAGCTAGGTTAGCTAATTAATTTACCATTTCTAGATACTGTCAACAATCAACCAAGACATAATTCATTTTAAACAAACATTACATTCAATTTCAGCAAGATGTCTAGTATCAACTTACGTACTGTGCACATTATTGCATTCCAGTCAGTTCCATTGAGCTAGTTTTGTTACAGGTTGTTGCAACTCTTGCTGGACTTTGGATTTATAGAATGGCTGATTGGTCATCTGAGGTAACATATGGTCATAATGTGGACTACAGACTACAGTAACAGAAATGTGGACACTATATGCTTAACAAAATATAATTTTATGTTTCTTATATTGTATTTAATAATTATCTGATTTGTTTATTTACTCAAAAATACACACACAAAAGTGTAAAAGCAACCAATAGATGTCACTGTTTACTTGTCAAAGACTTATACCGCCTACTGTATTTTAGATCTGCTTTGACAATTTGGATTCACGGTTTATATTATTTTAAAAATCTAGTAGAGCATAAGGATCATTGCTGTTACACTTTGGCAATTAAATATTAACAGTTGGAAATATTTCTTTAATTTTGCTCAACTGTTGCAGAATCTATTTATAGTCCATTTGCCTGAATATTGCAGGCTATAGGGCAGCGTATGTTAGTTTGACTGTGCCCACAAGACAAACATCATTGGCCCTAATCTTACATCAATATTTGCTGCTTATTTAAGTCACTACGCCTATACTAATAATATCCCCTGAATGGCACTCTCAATTAATTATAAAAGCGACAATTAGGGTGATTGACAGCTACCTGCATCCAACGCCCCGCCCAGTTCCCTTTAGTCCCGCCCCCTTGGGTTTGGGTCACAACTGTAGCAGCGGGGTTAGGGTTAGCCTCTTAAATGCGCCCGGGCTACACAGCTGCACACTTCCACTAAAATGACGAGCCTTTTATCATAGTAACTCATCATCACCTCCTGGGCTTTTAAGCCAGAGGATACTGTAATGTTTTCAAAGAATGGAATCGGACGAAGTGACGCTGAGGGAGCAACTTTTTCACAACCGCGTCCGTGAAACAATAGTGAGTATCCCCCAGTGCTAACGTGACTGTTCATTTGCATATGAGGGTCAACGAAAACAATACAGTCAGCTGTTAGAATCAACTGCTTTACACGCTCGTTTTAAGCCACGTATGCTACCTAAATTGCTATGACATTTTTATTTTTTTTTTTTTTTAGATTCTTGTGAACAGAAGACGTTTTTAATGCGTAAAGTTAATTGCTTTAGATATCGTCAGATGTGTCATTTGTGCGTAAAGGTTTAATATTTACTGCCACCTCACGAGTACAGCTGGTCCTTCTAAGCACATGGTGAATGGGCTTACCCTGTATCTGGAAGTCTCAGGTAGTGGAAACAGCCTTTGACATCTTTTAATACCCTGGTTTGTTTTTTGCCCTGTTTCTTGTCTGGCTGACTCTGATTTGTTACATGGTTCTCAATTGAACTTTGAACTCGTGAGAAAGATCACAATTACAACAAGACACGTGGAATTTGACCTTCAGTCTTGTAGATTGTGAGCTGTCAGTACACTGGAGAGCATATCAGTGTTAATATGAGCTACCATAGTAAAGGACAGAATTTCATGTTCTTTAAAAAGACACACCTTGTAACTAGATATGAGTTGTCTTATCAGGTACAGACCACAGACAATAAAGCATAGACTCAAAATGCAGCATATTACTTTGGAAATGTGTCATTCTATATGTGTTATGTGCTGTGATTTTGTAATCTTCCAAATTAATGGGACATCTAATTAGATCAACAGAGCTGCAAGAATAATAACAATCGAACCCACATCACAATAAGAAATTATAATTAAGGAGCAATGCACTCTTCTAATAATAACATATAAGTTAAATAGTCTTATTAACCCCTACATAATCATTCTGAAATGCATGTGATTGTTGGTGACTGATTTATTTATTTTTTACTAGGAAAGAAAGATATTTAGATATCAAGATCTCATTTGCAAGAATCACCTGGCCAAATGGTAGTACACGTGAATCTTACAAAAGCTTGAAATACAAATGGTTGGCTATTTTCTAATTTGCTTTTGACTGACAGCAACACTCCCATAAAGAGGGGAATGGTAAAGTACAGGAAGAGGGAGGTTTGTTTTCTTCTCCTTATTCTCAGTCCAGTTCTTCTCAAATGGTGGTTCAAGTATTATATCGAGGTCGCACTGTTTGGATGGAACAGTCTTGCTTCTCATCAGGTTTATTTCTGTTTTTGGTGTTTTTGTTATTTTGTTATGTTTTTGCCTTGGCCTAGGTACAGAATTTTGAAGCAACAGTTTAGTCCTTGTAAACACAATCATGTCATTGTTCTGGTCGAGTACCAGTTTCCTCCTTGTGTTGTTATTACTTGGTCAACCATTTAATTGGACATTAGTATAGTCTCTGTCATATTACAGTTTTCTGTGCGTTTTTACTGTCTGTTTGCTGGCTTGTCTCAAGTACACACTGGGGACAACAACACTTTTCTTTTCACAATGTAAATGTTATGATCCCAATCACACTGTGTGTGCTTTTGGGCTACTCATTATTTTGGCATTAAGATTCAATTCAGTTAAATTAATTTTTATATAGCCCAAGATTACAACAGCAGTTGCCTTTAAGAATTTAACAAAATTGTTGATTTAACCAACAGAAAGTTGGTTTAAAATGCTATAAAATGCTAGAAGATGCATGCTGTGGTGTCCTTGTGGTGTCCCTTTCACTCAGACTCATTACTCTTTTCCTGTCCCTGTTTAGACCTTCATACCGTTTGGTCATGTCTCTGCTCCTGACGATGCCCTGCTCACTTACAGTGCCCCTTATTCACCTCCCTCTGGCTCTATGCCAGAGAGCTGGGTTTTGAAACTCCAGTGAAAGTGCACAAAATGTTACAGAAGATTACAGTAATAGTTTAACTCTCATTAGAATGAAAACTTAACCTCCTATCATAAAATATGTTAAGAAAAGTACAATGTGGATTTAAGGCTGCAAACAATAGTATTTTTAGCAGTTGACTAGACAACCACTTATTTCTATTGGACTTAGAAATGTTGTTATTATTATTATTATTATTATTATTTGTTTGTTTTTACCTAAAGAGGTTGAAATATGGTGGCTGAAGAAGTCTAGATAAGGAAAGTGTACAAATATATAAAATGTATTATTGACATTTAGATTTAATAAAGTAATTGATTTTTGTTTTAGAGTCTGTATCATCCAGTTAATGCTTGCGATGATCAAAATACAATTACGATTTATAGTCGACTAGTCATATTTATTCTGATTGATCATTCATCCTATATGGATATTTTCCCACAATCAGGTCATGTCAAAACAAATCCAACTTGTACTAATAATAAGAGTGATAATCAAAACAAGCAGACACCTCCTGGAGAAAAAAAACAGGAGCCAAACTTGTGTCATTACTTGATCAGAAACAGTCTATAAATCACTGTGGGCTTAATGCAGATACACTGTGTATTTATTTGAGATGTCATAACCATCATGTTATCAAGAGTGCCCGCATTATAACCTGGCAGCCACTCCTCAGCCCCAGAGGTCTATGAAGAGGGATCAATGAGCGGAATAAAGAATGTATCAACAGAATCTGGGAACAGCAACACTTAAAACTCTGCTGCAGTACAACAACACACCAGCCAAACAATGTCCAACCGGTTTGAGTTAACACTGTCACAGAGCTAACCTTGTAACAAAATAGGGATTTGTAACTGGTAACACAAAATGGAGATATTCCTGGGCATGAAATTAATCTTGCTTAGCTCTTGCCCAATTTATCCTCTTACTGCGCACATGGGCAATGGGGCATGCATTTCCTCCACATGTTCAGCTGGAAATCTCTGAAATAACACAGGTGCACTCTCACCCCTGTCTTTGGCTTGCCCTGTCACTTCCATGTTGTTGTTGTTTTTTTAAACAAACATAAATGGACTATCCACTTTGTTCTGCTGATGTCTGCACATTGGAGTCATTCAGTAACTTCCTTACCATTTGCCCCCAGTTCGGGGCGTGCCCGGTACACTACAGGCAACTAGATGTGTGTGAATATGGGTTAAAACTTTATTTTGTTTCCTGCTTTGTTTATTTACTGAATCATGCAGAAAGCTTCTTCCTGTGCAGATTTTCTCTTGCTAGAGTCGGCTGCAGTCCATTGTTGCTGCTGAATTTCTCTGTTAACCACTCCTGTATTACATATTTACTTAGCAGGCAGGTAATATTATGATGTGTGATTGATGTCACGCTACTTAACAAATGACCTTTTGTAAAACTTTGGAGAAAGGCCAAGGATGTGACTGTTGTTGATGACGTAAATAAACACTGTAGCTAAGTAACAAACTATTTCATCTCAACAATTTATTTTTCATTCATAATCACACCCCACACTATACCAAAACCAGACCATGGTGCACCAAACCAGAGTAGAACTTCAACAATACAACAAAAAGTTAAACAAAATCTGATCAGCAAAGATCATCTGCTTACTTGTGCCACTGGTTGAGAATCACTGATCATGTTAATTGTATAGTTATTAAATACAGTGATTTTGTAATTTGTCCAAGTGCTTTGACATTTGTGTAAACCAGACCAATGATAGCTTTTGTTTCAAGCTCTGTGTCAGTGATTACATATATCATATCTTTACCTTCTTTACAAACGGGTTTTGTTGGCACATATTTGTCATTCTTCAGTGGGCCTCTTTATGTTAGCTGTCGTTGTTGCTGCAGGCAAGTTGTCTGTATCCATAAGCGTCATACTATGTTTACGGAGTATATTTGCAATTGAAATGTGTTTGTCAATGATCCTTTGTTATTTTTAACATGACATGTCCAATGTCTCTTCAAGTTTGTGCTTGTTATTATCAAGTAAGTACAAACAAAGTACTCATTCATTTGCTCTTGTTTATGCTGTTGTTTTGTGGTGTTGTCATGATACCTTGAGATTAGAAATGACCAACAGATGGCAATCAAAATGCATTGATTTAAAAAAAAAAAACAGTGCCTAGAATGACTATCACTGAAACCTTTTCTACCATGTACCATTTCTGGATGAATCTTGTCACAATATCAAAAATTCTGTACCAATTTTGACCAAGAAATAAAAAAAATGTGATAATAGAATGCAATAATATAGTACACACAACAATAATGGTACTTCCTTTGATATTTTCACATGGATTTATAGTTCTGATATAAAGGTGGACCATTCTAAAACTGTTTCAGAAAGGTCAAATTATGTTGTATTTATGCATTTTTATGCTTCAAATGGTGAACCACTTTCATACCACTTTAGCATTGAATATTGTTTTTTGAAACCCTAGCTTGGCATGTCTGCTTCTAGCACAGGATCGAGGATGGCTAATATTAGGTAATATCCTCAAAGTTTTCCCAGACAACAGATTGCTGAGTAATCTAAATAATATTAAACGGACTATGTCCCTGATCTGATGAGACTGTCTTTAGCTTTAACCTGCCTTTTCTTCGTCTTTAATCTGTAGGAGTACTAGAACTAATCAAGAATCTCTGCCATGACCATTACCGCCTAAAAATCCTTCTCGCCAACACACAAGCAGTTGATTCTTCACGTAAATCTCTTCTATCATTGGTTCCAAACAGGGCTGTTGATTTTCAGATTGTGTGTTATCTCAACATTTCTAAACAAGGCGTAAAAGAGATAAGTACAACTGTGAGTTTAACAGAATAAAGTTTCTTTCATGGCAGTTTGGTGTTCCAATCATAGATAAAATTCTTTATACAGTCTATATAGTTCCAATAAACTGTGGTCTAAAGCTATTTTCCTCCATTTTTTCCTCACACAGATCTGTGTCCTTCTGTTTTCCTGCCTATACATACTCTCCTACCTCATCCTCACCCACTTCAAGAAGACAGCAGAGTTTATCACAGGTCAGTATACAAAACGTCCAAGACTTTATTTATGTCGCCCTGAATGTGAAATAATTGTTCAGTGTTAATTAATGTTATGACTTTTCTTAATTGGGAACGTGTTTAAACATATTTTTGTCATGAGAACGTAGCTAAATCCTGGAATCCATACATTTACATTTATGATCTTTAGGCCTATCATGACTGTTATGTAACCTGTAACGTGCACCCACTGCCCTGGGACAGATAGTGTCCTGAATGGGGCTGCGGAGGGGAGGGAAAAAATATGCTGATAAACACTATGTACTCAAGATTTTAGCTCAAGGTTTCAAACACTCAGCTAAACCTACAAGTACACACTGACTGGACAATATAAATTGACTTTGCAGCTTTAGGTCACATTTTGATCATTGTAAAGAACATTCAAAAACATTTAATCAGTTAAGGTGCCTATACTGTGGAATGCAACCAGAGAAACGTGGAAAAAATGAACAAGAATCAATGTGCCAGTAAACGTTTAATAGAATATAGATTGTTGAAGATATAGACGACAAAGTCAAGCATTTGAACAAAACAAAACCAGCATATAGGCCTTCGGTGGGTTACATAATAAACGCTACTATTGAAACCAGATGTTGCTTATCCAACTGGCCTAGGCTTTGGGCTTGGCTGGACCTGAATTTTTGGGGGCACTGCCAGGTATTTCCTTTTTTTTTCACTTTTAAGTGGCTGTTGTTTGTGTCACCTCTACATTAATAACAGAAGAACGGTTGTGCCTCGCAGCCATAAGATGATTGTGCAACACCAAAATCCCAACTTGTTTTTAACCCCAAGCAAAATCATGGAACAACTAGGCCTCTACGTGCATAGAAGCTTTTTGCATACATAATTTAAATTCATAAATGGATTTCACATTATGTAAAATGTGGCTGTTTTTTACTTATGCAAATAGACTGGTTTGCAGCATTCAGATATTTTTTAGTACAGTTTAGGTTTTAGTTTTCTTAGTTTTATGTGCAGCTCTTCCTCTTTATATGGTCATGCTTGAACAAAATGTTCCTCACACCACCCCTCACTCCTGGCCCCTCTTTCAGGCTCATATGCATTTCATTTGTGTCATGGGGGATACACTTTCTTCTTTATCTGTGCTGCATGTCATACACTAATGCATTTTTCAAAATCACAACTGTAGTATAATCTAGTACTGAATCTGTAGTGAAAGGTCTGCCAAAATCCAGGAATGGGAATTTCAGAAAGTTATTGGGCATAGAATCACGTGTATTTTATACTTTATATCTTGAAGTTGATTAGAATTGATAAAAGCAAGCATTTAACTATAATACCAACTGTTTTTCTACACTCCAAAATATTCCTCATGTACTGTGTGGTGGAGGGTCCACTACCTACTTGTCTCCATGGAGGTGTTAGCATCTAGCATTTATTATTGCTAAAAAATACACTAATCCATCTGTGAATAGGGCCAACTCTCCACAGATCTGAACTGCAATGTAGTGCAGTTCTGCAACCTGCTTGCCTCTCTCATGATAGATAGGTTTAATCTATACTGTGTGGAGCATTCTAGACAAAGCAATAATAGTTCCACGGAGACAGGCAGGTTTTGGGCCACTACTAATAATGTTACGCAATGCACCTTTTAAAGCCAATTGAACAGACTAAAAGTAAAGCATGTTTTGTGTGTATGTGTGTGTGCATGTTTGTTTATTGCACAGAAAAAACATAGATAATGTGTCCTTGCTGTGAGTGGGCTTGCATCTCCACAAACCTGACTTTTACTTTGAGGTGGGCCTCCTCTGTTTTTTCCCCTCTGGCTATAATCTTATGGCATTACACGGTATGATTTAAAACCTAGAGTTTATCTCATGGAGTATGTTCTGAAGTATGTTTTTAACTTTCTTTTTTCATGGAATTATGCAGGTGACGTCCCATCACCTCCAGATAGTTACATACTTTACCTTTTCTAACTTAAGTTGTCTTAAGACAAGACATGTTTTTGTGTTTCATTTTGTTTTGTCTCATTTTCAGATGATGTTGAAGATGCCACTGTCAACAAGATTGCGTAAGTAACTGTAATCATTAACTGACTGCTGTCTTTATTTACTGGTATTATCGTGAATGACTGAGGTAAGGGCTCAGTCATCCTGACATATGTGACTGCTTGGGGTTATTTAGCTGAGCTTTTATTACCCAGAATTCTTAGATTATGTTTGATAAAGCCTGTAGAGGCCATGTGCCCTTTGCCCTTACACGCTGGTTTAGCATTTTGCCATGCCCCTGATCATTTCATCCAGCTCCACACACCATGTGACTATCACTAAAGCCGTGTTTACTCTCCATTCAGGCTGTGGCTGTGCACATTCACGCTGTCTGTGGCCGTGTGCGCTGTGCTACTGCTGCCCATCTCCATCCTGTCCAACGAAGTGCTGCTCACTTTCCCACACAGCTACTACATGCAGTGGCTCAATGGCTCGCTCATCCGTGGTACTTTGTTTACTTATTGCAAGTTAAAAATACATCCTGAACTTTGTCAGTATAACTGAGCTTATTATTTCCCCTTTGTCAAACGTTCCCATCAATAACAGTAGTGTCAATTGTTAGCAGCAGTAGTATAGATCCCCTGTTTCCACTGTGAGAATGAATATAGATTTGTTCAGTGCATCTGCTGGAGTGTTTAGAGTGTTAGTGGAGTGTTAGAAAATTGGAAGATGCAATACAAATTAATGATAAATCAAAGATAATAACTTAGATAAACTGTCTTGACAATGCATATTGGTGCTGCCTCCTTGTGGATAGTAGCAGTACTACCATCATGTCTCTGATTGCATTTTCCAAAATAAAATTCTGGCCTATAACTTCTGTTTTCCAGGTCTGTGGAACCTAGTTTTCCTTTTCTCAAATTTGTCACTAGTCTTCCTCATGCCCTTTGCCTACTTCTTTATTGAGTCTGAGGGATTTGCAGGCTCTAGAAGGGTAACAACTTGTTCTATATATATATTTCTCAGTATTATATAAAATGTGCTTTCAGTAATCTATGATATTTATCTTTGTTGGTAGGGTGTTATGGCACGGGTGTATGAGGCGGTTGTCCTCCTGTTGTTGCTTGCACTGCTCGTCATGGGCATTGTGTGGGTGGCATCAGCTCTGCTCCATGACAATATTGCTCGGAAAAGCCTGTATGGTGAGTCACAGAAATTTAACCTGAATATTTAATACGGGTACTTTATTTACTTTATGTCTTCATTCTTTAAATTTTAGACCTGTGGGAATACTACCTGCCATACCTCTATTCAGGCATCTCTCTGTGTGGAGTTTTGCTACTTTTGTGTAAGTGACTCTTGTTCTGTATTTTAGATGAACAAAAAGTTAAGAATAAATTAGTCTTTTGACCATACATTTGACCATTGCCCTCCTCAGTGTGTACTCCCTTTGGACTTTCTCGTATGTTCAGCGTAACTGGAAGTCTGTTGGTGAAGCCTAGGGTATGTACAAGTTGAATTGTGCTTGTTTAAGAAAAAATATAGTGGCACCATCAAAAATTATGAGATTGTGTCTTTATGACTTCAGCTTTTGGAAGATGTGGAGGACACTTTGAACTGCACTACATTTGAGGAGGCTACTCTGTCTAGAAAAATAAAGTGTGCGTATCTTTGGAAAATACAATACAGATTATTGATTGATTTTTTTAATGGTGCATATTTAGTATTTTACTTAATTTTTATGGTAATTTTAGATGGCAGAACGTCATGCTGGGTGAAGTTGGACATTGAAACAATGAAAAGTGAATACCAAGCAGTTCAAAACAAGCGCATCGCTCTGGGTACAAATCTGACTTTTTGTTTTTGTTTTTTTTCTTAAATGCATTGAAACAATATATAATCTTTATGTCTCTCTTTCAGAAATGCGTCGGAAAGCATCAGCTTGGCAGAGGAATTTAGGCTATCCTCTTGCAATGCTGGCTCTCTTGGCCATGACGGTACTGAAGATTGTGATCACATTGTAATACATTAATTACATTGAAATAGTGGTTCCTCTTACCTGACCTTGGTATGGTTGCATCTCTGTGCTCAGGTCATGTGCGTGCTCATGGTCTGCTTTAATGTGCTGGAGTTGCTACTTGATGAGAAGGCTATGCCTAGAGGAATGGACGTAAGTGATTACTGGTTTTAGGCTTTATTAAACTTGCAAACATACACATCTTCTTTTTCATTTTAGGATCCTCATCTTGGGAGGGCCTCTTTTTCCATGTTTGGCTCATTGGGTGCTGCTGTTCAAGTTGTTCTCATACTGTATCCTATTCGAATGTAAGCATAGGAATATCTGATGATAAAAATGTATGTCTTGGGACAACCTTGGACAAATTAAAAAAATATTTTATTATGTAATAATATTTATTATATGGAACTTAATGAGTGTGTCAGCTATCTCATGGTGTCATCAGTAGTTGGCTTTTACAGCTCTCCCCTCTTCATAAGCCTTATTCCACGAGCACAGGACACCAACCTCACCCAGGTGTGTCACAATTGCTCTTTTCATGTCTCACAAATATACCAGTGAAAGCCAGTTATTTATCTCCATTATTATTTATCTTATGTTTTTTTTAGATAATAGCAAACTGTGTGTCACTACTTATCTTGAGCTCAGCACTGCCCGTCTTCTCACGGACCCTTGGTAAATTCAAATTATTAGTCTAACTTTGTATATTTTAAAGCCACTGCTGCTGTGATAGACTGCTGAAGTTCAGCTGTGTAATTCCATGAATTACCACAAGGGGTCATATGTTAGTCAATGTTTAACATCATTTTTGTACCACTTATAGGAATCACCCGCTTTGATCTACTTGGAGACTTTGGTCGCTATAACTGGCTTGGCAACTTCTACATTGTTTTTCTGTATAATATGATGTTTGCTGGGCTCACATCTGCTTCACTCATAAAGACAGTGACCTGGGCAGTACAGAGAGAGCTCATTCGTGCCTTTGGTAAGTTACTGCAGATTGCCACTAAATGCTGCTCCTTTCATTGTTGTTGGATGGCTGTCATGAGCTTTCCCACCTTTTGGCCCACTTCCCTGAGGGCTGGTCACTCTTCCTCAGATAGAAAGAATACAATTATTACAGGAAATTGTTTGGGGACAGGAGCAGAACTCAGTCCCTGCAGGGAACTTAAGAACCCCTTGCTGCTAAAAATATGGCCCTCCACCCAATATAAACATCAACCTGGCATTGCATATTATACACCTGCTTTCTTCATAATTCAGATATCATCTGGTTCCAGTGCCTGCTACCTACAATTTTCAATTGCCTCAAATTAATATTATTGTCTTTTTTTTTAATGAACTTTGTTCTAGCTTGTAACTGCTTGAACTTTTTCTAATTTTTTTCATGTTTGTTTTGCAGGTCTCCACAGATTGCCTTTAACAGTGTCTCGCTCGGCTGTCCCCTTCAGGCTACTTTTAGCAAGTGGACTGTCAAAAATACAGTGACTTGTTCACATAAAGACACTAAAAAAACACTGTCTACAATAAAGGCATTTGCAATGGAGTTCCTTTTGTAACAGCAAGACTACAGTGCCTGTGAAGGACTGCTGTGATTCCTGCGGTCACAGTCTGCTCTTTGCACACAGGACCTGTGAGACCTGTGAGTCATGGTAATGAGTGGTACGTTAGTGAGGGCAGAACTCACATTGTGTTACCAGTGTGAGGCATGTGTAATAGAGTGTGCAATAGCCAAACCTGGTGCCTTATCTAAAGTAGGGCTGGGCTGTTCATATGTGAAAGTCAGCATAGTTATTTTCAAATATTACATAGTAAGATAGACGTAATTTCCTTTTCCTGCTCTGGGTCGGTGGAGTGTTCTGTTGTTTTTGTGTGGACCCTCCACTCTTGAAAGGTCTTGGAAGGGTGATACCACTATTTTAGGAGTGTATGTGTTTGGTACTCCAATTATAATGAGACTCTTCTCATTTTGTGTGAAATGGGCACAGATGTTTATATAGATGCACAGATTATGCTGGGAACATCATTAGATGGTTTACAAATAGATTATTCACTATTACCAGTGCCAGTATCATTTGGGGCTGTAGTTTTAGGAAATCAATTTTAATGTGCATAAATAATGGAGCTTTTATATTTTTAGTCTCATGCAGAGATTTTCACACAGGAGAAAAATCTGCCTTTGACCAACTGTACTGTGAATAAGTTGGGGACAGTGCAATATTGTCAATGCAATGTTTTACCTTTTCCTTACCTTTTTATTGCCTTGTTTTATAAATTTCATTCAATTTGTTGGAGTGGCTACTTGTAGAATAGGTTAAAATAGATTTATTTAAAATGTTAGTGAATGTTAGTGCTATTATTGTGAAGACAAGACCACAAATCTCTTAATGTTTAGCTATACAAAATGGGAAAGTATTTTATTACGTGTTTTCTTAATTAGCATTTTATTTTCTTGTTGCCATTGGTGACGTGTCACTGTAACAGTTATTGCTGTATCAGCAGATTTTTTTTTACTGTGGACCAATCCAGTAGGTGATGGTGTTTGCAAATCCCCACCCCTGCCATATGAGTCACTCTCACTATAGGTTTACCATTTTGTGTGTAATATGTTATAATATGTGTTATACTGTGTTATACTGTTTAGATCCGTTGTTATTGTTATTCTCGAGCACTGTGGGGTTACTTCTTAAATTTTAGGGAAGCCAAAGGTTTATTTTATTTTTATTTTATTGTATCTTGTGTGATGCAAAGGTATTTCAAGGACATAACATCTTAATGTATTGAATGTAATACAGTTGACGTTAAATATTCAGCATTGTATGTAAAGAAAAATAAGTCTATTGTTTACCTTTTTAATGCTCTGACAATTCAGAATTTTCATTTATGTATGAGCAAAATACAAATAAACCTTTTTTAAGTTTGAGTTTTCATGATATTTCACAAGAAAAGATTTGGATGTGTCAGCATGGGTGGATGCCACTCAGGGCGGCTGTCCCGTAAATCCCTTCAAACTTTTTCACTTCTTTAATCAGTGGCTGAAGAAAGCATTATTTGTTTCATTCTGTCAACAGTGACCCTGTCACGACACAACTACAGTCAGGGCCCACGCTTTCCCCGTCTGATGCAAGTGCCAGATAGATTTAAATCAGGAGGAGTCACAGTCGCCCCGTGCCTCTCTACCACCCACCTCCTGCACTTTTATCCCTTTTCCTTCAGTGCTGTTCATTTCCGTTCAAATGTCCTGAAGTCAGTTCAAGAAAACCTTGTATGATTGATTAGACCCTCTTGATTTTGTTTGCATTTCTTGTTTTGTTTGATCTTTTAATTAAACCTCTTTAGTGTAGCTTTGTTTTACATTGTACTTCCTTTACGAAAAGGAAATGGAAAAAAAAGTTGCGTAGTTTCACGCATACATCTCTTGAACCTAATTAAGCTTAGTTTGAGAGACAAACCTCAACCTGATTAAGCTATCATACGTGATTCTATTCTATCCTATTTGGCTTGGTTGTTTCCTGTTGAAATTCACCACAACCTTGTAGTATTATTTTTTATTCATTGTGATATTTCAATTTGAATCAAAGTAACTGAGAAACATTTTGGAAATAACATAAATTTAACATGCCGGTGATTATAATCTTATGTAGGTTGAAAAATATTGAATCAATATCAGTACAAAAATGGTGCATGAATTGAAGCACCCAATATCAGTGGGTGACTATTTGTGAGTGTAGCTCATACAAAGTGTCTAACAGTTCTGCTCTCACACATGCTGGTGGGGCATATCAGGGACCGGGCAGGAGACAAAAGTCTCATAATGGGATGAGATAGGGTATCTTTATTGTCAAAACATACGAATGAAGGGGAAAAGACAGAGATTAGCTTTCTTGACAGTCGTCTGTTTGAAGTCAGTGCCAAAGTGCATTAGGCAGTGTTACATGCACTTTGTGCACTCACAAATGCAGAACCACTCTCAGGAAAAGGCGAGACTTACTTTGCTAATCAACTGATAAAGGGTCGCCCTGTGCATTTGCCATAGCTGCCCTTAATCTGGTCTGCACACTCACGGCACACTCACTTCACACAGTCTGTTGGCACAAAACTTTGTCATACTATCCAAGAGGGGCATAGTGTTGTGGGGAAATTAGAATAAATTTATGTTTTTGTGTATGCATGTAGTCTAAAACAAGTTTGTCATACGTTTATGCCAGGTCCCTAAATGTACTATATAGCATCACACGACCTTTAACCTTTTTGTCTGATGCAGGAAGTCCCACCCTTCTCAGTCTATTGTCTTGAACAGCAGTCACCACAACTTTCAGGTTTACCAATGTAAAGGCCATGGACTAAATATTTTATGCCCAATGTTCACATTCAGCTTTGTAACAATTAAGTGAATGAGTGCAACTGATTGTATTGCTCTCACCTCATGAAGGTTCTGGATGCAATTACCGGACCCATAGATCTTTCTTTGTGGTAGTTGTATGTGCTTCATTTGAGCTTTCTTCCTGGACTAGACTTAGCTTCTGTCTAGAGTTCCTGCTCTGTTTGCTGTCCCATTAGAAAAGACAATGTAGAGGACATATTTTCCTGGTTTGGGTCTTACGAATCGCTACAAATTTGTGCGATTCGTACACAACAGACATACACACCAGAAAGAACAACCCCTTTTGATATGAGGAATAATGGATTAATGCACCACTTTGAGAAACATAAAAGGCTTGTAAACATGATACATGTTGACACACACACACACAAAAACTTTAAAAGCTCTTTTTATCTCTAAAGCAAAGTTGTTGGTGAATAGAATTAACATACAGGCAAAGAATCATGGAGTGATGGCAGTGTCACCAAGCACCACCCTGCTCTTCCTGCATTGATAATAAAGACTGAAGCCCTCACTGTAGCCATAGCGACTGGGAGGAGGCAGGTGTCAGCTCCTTGACTTCTCTTCCCTTAAACCCTCAGTGGCCTCTCTATAGGAAATGAATTCTAGTGTGATTTGTTAACCTTCTGGATACAAGAAAATGCTATCAGAATGTACTAATATCCAATTTGTTTTTAAACTGTCCCATGATTCATCTTTCAAATATGTTGTTTGAGAGGCTTTCAGAAGGCCAAAGCAATGGATAGACTAAACTAACCAGGATCTTGCTTCTAAGATTCAGGAAACCCAAGCAATCACCCTGTCATGTACTCCCAAGTGGGGAGTAGACATGCTGTAAGGAGGCCGGGACAGGCCAATGGATGGAGGCACCAAAATGTAAAAAAAACTAATAATAAAGACTTTATTTAAATCTCCTAGGCACACATGTTGCTTCCTTCCTTTCCCTTTCATGTGAGATGGAAATCTGTTCTCTTTGTACGGTCAGTGGTAGATATGAAAATGTTTGTTGCTTTTTTTGATTGAGGTGTCGCCTGGATTTGTCATGGACGATATCTTTCATCTGTGTTTGAGCCAAATTTCACCACTCGTCCATGTTTTCTGTGGGACAGGAAGATGAAGACTTGCTTTGCCAACCCTCCCCACAACATCCTGGGATCTGCAAGGCTTTTGGCTCAATAAGCATGTCAGTGGGTTCCAGGACTACTGCCTGTCTGGTCTTAATTGACTTTAAATTCTGAATATCACACATTAGATAACAAAATATTTTATGAAAATCTCAAAAGATATATAGCCTAAGCAAGAAAGAGGACGTGCCACCTATAGATTATGTCACACAGTGTGTACTTAGCATACACCCACTTGGCATTGACTAAGTCTGTACTATTATGGCTTCAAGAGATAATTTAGTATCAGGGTGTTTCCCACAAGTAATAGACCAAGGTGCACAAGGTTAAAGGGGTTAGCGGATTCCCCAAACACAGGAAAAGTGCACTGCTGGACATGTCAAGGCTAAACAGACAGACCTTCAACTTACTATTCTAGATTGTGGAAAGTTATGGTATCATAATTGCATTTTTGTCGTCCTATTAATCACATTGTACTTTGTCCTGAAATAACCAAAAGGTAAATGCACAAAAGTTGAATCTCTATTTGCCCCCCATACAGTACATACAGCATTGGCCTGTACCCTGGTGTCGTTTTAATCCCAACAATTATTATCCTAATAACTAATAAGGGTACAAAACCTGTGTTTATGTCAAATAATCATATTGGGCCTTTATAATAATTAGATTTCTTTTTGGCTTTTTGTTTTTAGAGAGAGAGCGCAAGAGCAATCCCCACATCTGCAAGTAGGCAAGTAAATGAATTGGAGGAGGCGTGCTCTCTCGAGGTGCAAGTGCGCAAAGGAAGGGAGGGCAATCTTGTCCGGAGTGCGCTAATAAGACCAATGGCTGGTGTAAGGTGGCCAGGATCGCTCAAACGCGATAGAAGAGCGTGGTCCAGGCAATATAAAGAAGGTGTTTGAATTTGACGAAGAGATTTTTGGCGCCACATCAACGATCCAAGTTGGGGCTATTTAGGCATCTTCAAAAAAGTGGTATGTGCTGCAATTTCTATTCATTCATGCACCAGTGCACAATTAATATAATTTACAACAGCAGCCAGGGGCTAAATTAAATAAATTGGCTTGGAGAACGTTTTTTTTTTCGGTCTCGGTTTTATTGAAGTTGTTAAGAAGTTGTTTGCTGTTGTTCTAATTTAGTAATTTGCGGATAATGGATCCAGAAACGAGCCGGTCTCACCCACTGTCTTCCACCTGGCCCTGGGGCGTCTGTGAGAGCCGCTGACCGCTGGACCTCCTCTCCCTCATGCATCAGTCCTGCTGGATGCCCCTGGCACAGCTCAGCCTCCTTGCTCTCTGGTCCACCACCACATGCTGGGTCCAGGGATGTGGACCAGGCCCCGGCTATGGCATCCGACCCAGACCAAGGAAGCTCACAGCAATGCACTACAAGCAATTTTTCCCCAACTTTTCAGAAAACAACCTTGGTGCCAGTGGCAGAGCTGAAGGCAAGATCACTCGCAACTCTGAGCGCTTCAATGAGCTGGTGTGCAACTACAATCCAGATATTGTCTTCAAAGATGAAGAGAACACCAATGCTGACCGCTTCATGACCAAGGTGAGAGCTTAAGTTTAAAGCCATTTAATAACCTTTCTAATTGAAATGTTCAGATATAGTAGCTAGACTGTTAACCTTTTACAATCATGAAGCCTAGAATTTACACTTTACTTCAAGCTTCATTGATGTTGTGGATGCTGTGGTTTTAAGCATTTAGATATGAAGGCATGTGTTTCAAATTGTGGTTTTCTGAAGTTGGATTGTGGTCCTGTACATGATGCTCGGTTTGAGTGAGTGCGTAGATGTGCCCTTTTTTCGCCCAGATGTGAAAGATGCTCTTTGTGCATCATTTGGAGGGGTCGCCTCTACTAAATTCTCGCCTGCTGAAGTAATGGCACCATCGGTAAAGCAGCTATTGTAGTTCTGACAATGAGACGCCTCTCTTCAATGGCATTCCCACAAAAATGTGCCCAGTTTGTTTTCAATCCCCACTTTTTTTTCTCACTTTTGCTGTGACATTCCCAGTCCATGCCCATACATTCCTCCCCTCTGGCCTTTCTGTACTCCCATCTTTTGGCTCTCAGTTACATTGTCTTCTTCTCAGTGACTTTTTGTGAAAGATTTTTGTGCATTTAAATGCTTTGTGAGAAACAAAAGCATCACTTCTGAATACATTCATATTCTTTATACTTCCAGTATAATTTAAATTACTCTGAACAGTCTGTTTACAAACTCTAAATCTGTTGTTTAAAGGAATCACCTAAATGCTTCAAACAGTGTGTGAAAAGACAGAGAGTGGCCTTGATTTTTGTTACTCTGTCAAAAAAGCCAAGGAATGTGCCAGACTGGCTACAGTAGCTTTGTTCTTGTACTCTCTGAGATTGCATTAAAAAAACCTATGAAGAGTAGTATGTGATGTGACATTAATTTATCAAGAGACATGAGAGAAAATCTACACAAAAGTTAGAAATGTGCATGTTTACAAAATTAACTTTTACTTGCTTATGCCTTAAGTATGGCCCAGTGACTAGTTTGGGTTGTATTCTGTTAAAATTATTGTATCACATCAAGGGAAATTGTTTTAACTTAATGTTTGTTTTTCTTTTTCCCTTGAATTGACTAAATAATGTAACAGAGATTAAACAAGTTGTTGCAGCCTTTTAACTGTGACTGTACTGATTTAGCCAGCATAATTCAGTGTGATGCGTGAGGCAGGAGGATTAACTATTAACTACTTTAGTGAAACTCATATGGAAATAAGAAACACAGTTGTTTTTTTTTTTACTTAATTAAATAAATTTAAAAATTTTATTTAAATTTAATAAGTTTTATAATTCAAGTGGATTTAAAACATCATATACATCATATAAAAAACATCATATATCATGTGTAAATTTACAAGAGCTTTTACAAAGGGTGGATACTCTAGTCCAAAATTCTGAACCAAGGAATCATTGTGATGGTGTACAGTTTGATATATACCCATATCATTATAGCTGTTACAGTAAGTGCTGCTTAGAACAAGATTCTATTCTATATTTCCAGCGCTGCAAGGACTGTCTGAATAGGCTGGCCATTGCAGTAATGAACCAGTGGCCTGGAGTCCACCTGCGTGTGACCGAGGCATGGGATGAGGACGGGCACCACCCCCCAGGCTCTCTGCATTATGAAGGCAGAGCCGTGGACATAACGACAGATGACAGAGAAACTGACAAATATGGGCTTCTAGCACAGCTGGCTGTGGAGGCGGGCTTTGATTGGGTCCACTATGAGTCCAAGTATCACATCCACTGCTCTGTGAAAGCTGGTACGTATTTTTGATGTCCCTTTTTATTAAAGACCTGAAGACCTGATTCAGACATGCTCTTTCGACATGTGCAGATCACTCTGTGGCAGTGGAGAAGGGTGGATGTTTTCCAGGCTGGGCCCGAGTAACTGTTGCTGGAGGGGAGCAGAGGCCCCTGTCCTCTGTGCTCCCAGGGGACAGAGTATTGGCCCTGTCTGCAACAGGTGAGGTCATCTTCAGCCCTATCATCCTGTTCTTGCACCAGGATGCAGTAAGCTGGGGCAACTTCATATCTCTGGAGACAGAGGATGGACAAAGACTGGCCCTTACCCCACATCACCTGCTCTTCACTGCCCCTCACAGAGGAGTGCCCTGTACTAAATACCAGGTGCAGTTCTCTAGTAGAGCTAAAGTAGGTGACTATGTTCTTATTCATAAAATGGGGGGTCAAGTAGCTCCATCGAGAATCATCACTGTCTCAGTGGAGAAGAGTATGGGAGTATATGCACCGCTAACAGAAGAAGGCACTCTGTTTGTTAATGGCATCCTAGCTTCAAGCTATGCTTTAGTGGAAGACCACACACTTGCACACTGGGCTTTTGGGCCTATGAGAACCTTCTTCACTTTTAACCAGCTGCTATGGGGACAGGCATCTATAACTTACAATATTACTGACAACAAAACTGTGAACACTAAAGTACTGCAGGGTAAAACATTTATCTGCAAACAAACACCTCAGAGCGATCCACTTGGACTGAAAATTAGATGGAAGTGCCCCATGTTCAGAAAGGTTTCCTCTGTTCACTGGTATGCACAGCTGCTGTATAATTTTGGATTTATGATTTTAGATTCAAGCTTATTTCACCCTTAAAAAAAGACTGAGCATTGCACTGTTGAGCTTTACACTAACAGCCTCTTCATTCAGTAAACAAAATGCACTGTATTACCCTTTGTTCCCTTGTTTAATTTATCACATTGATAGATATGCATTGTGTGAGTCTGTGAACTGTGCTAGAGAGAAAATATATTATCAACAAATCCTGTTTTTTAAACACCACTTTTTAGTTTGTTATTTGGAATATGTATCTTTATGACCAACAGAATTTTATATTTTTGTACTATAATATTAATGTATATATTTATATTGTAAAACCCTCATTTGTTACAATTATAATTAAAGCATCATTGTGTATTTATATCTCTTTGAGTTGATATTTTACCTCACTCGTTCTAGAAGTAACATATACATTAGGAGCGTACGACATTGTTGTACGCCCCCTTGTGGAGCAGGACTGCATAAATAATTATTAGAATTTAGTTACAAGATTTAGTTTTTTCACATAAAAATGTAGTCCTGCACATGATTCACTACTAAAACTGGTTAAAAATTAAAAATTGGCTTGATCTCTATTTAAAATAATATTGTTTCTAGTTTTGTGGTTAACATATGTGAAGGTATTCCAGGGGATTATCCTTGAGATGCAAGAGTCAGATGGGAAAAACATTGGCTCTGCAACCTGACCAATAGGAACATTCCCATGTCCTAATGCTATCCTCTGTTTACGTGCCCTGACCAATCACAGAATGTTCTACAGCCAGTCACTGCCCCCCTCAAAATCTAATCCAATATTACTAAAACTGAATGGGGAGTTAACTAATCCTGTAAGGGGACCAGTCTATTTTCAAAAAAATATTAGATAGATTGGTGGTTTTAACAATCTTGTAGCCTCCCTGGTGTAGGCCGGGACAAATTTATGATAAATATGCAATGAGTATAAAAAATTGACCTTTAAGGCTTCCTCTGTCACATTTTGGCCCCACAAATGCGATCTCCTGTCTCTTTCCCGAGATTTTGGAACGTAATCAACAGTTTTGTAACATTACAAATGAGCAGTGTTATTCTGTTCAAACCCATCAGGGTTGAACCAGAGCCTACAGTCTACATGACACAGGCACTGAGAGATGAAATCAGTGCATTTCACAGCACTAACAACGTTAAAATAAATCAGGCTAGCTATTTTACTCAGTTATGGATTTGTGGTTTGTATACACAGATGCGTCAGAGGTACGAGTTCATAAAGCATTGCTATAGTGACATTGTCTTGCTATTGCTTTTATTCAACTCCGGAGTGGCTGCTTTTAGTAGCTTTGGCCACTTGGTGAGTAAAAAAATAGGGACAGACAAGCATTATACTAAAGAACTATAGTAAAAAACGAATAGGCTATACCAACAAGCAGTATATAAACGGGCTTCTCTGCGTCTGCATAGCACCATACTGCAGCAGCTGCGGGTGAGCCTGTCACTACCCGATTTGCATCGCAATAAAGTGGTGTGCGTCTGCGTCAGGCATACTGCTCCAGATACATAATACACACGTACAGTTGGAGTTCTCTATTTGCTTTTTACATGTTGCTCTATGGCGTGGAATAAATACACAAGTACACTGTATACAGTCAAGAAAAATGAAGAGAGAACACAAAAAAACATTTTTTTGTGGCCTATACATTTATGTTTTTAAAGAAGCTGTATGTATTGATTGTCAGCGAGTTTTTTATTATATACATCAGTACGCTGTGTTAATGTATACAGTCAACATATTTAAAACCAACAGTGTTTGTCCCAATGGTGTCTCTGTACAGGTCGCCTCACGCTTGCGCGGGGCATGCTGCGAATCTGGTAGCGAAAAGTTTGCTAAAGTTGATATGCTAATGCTACTAGCGCCTCGCAGCCTACCTTCCTTCCGCCGACGTGCACTTCCCCCACTCTCCCTGCAGCCGGCTAGCTGCAGCGTTAGTCCGGTTTAGAAAATGGAGCGACTAGCAGTCTTTTGGAAGCTTTGTGGGTCATTGGGATTTGCTTACGAATGAAGAAACAACATTGTTTATGAGAGGTGAGTAGCATCAATTTCTAAACCTTATACCACATACATTGCTTAGACGGACCAATCCTGACCTTAGACCGGTTAATGTTAGCGTTAGCTCGGCTGCCCTATCCATCCGGGATGCTAATTGCTATCATAGCATTTAGCAGTTAGCCGCTGTCAGATGGGAATGACTATTTCCTGGAGAAATGGCAGAGCACCACCGACACCTCGGTGTTTGTTTGTTTGTGTACAGCGTTTGCAAGTGATACATTGGAGTGTTAACTGTACATTTGGAGAAATTGCATCTATCCGAATAAAACGAAGTGATAACGTCTTTGTTGTGATGCCTTTGTGCACTTTACAGCTACGTCACGATTGGTAGTTATTACCTTCCCGTAGCAGTTTGTTCCCAGTGTTATGGAGATGGCTATTTACTGGAGCAGTATGAAATGTTCGAAGTCGATGTTTACATGACAAGAAGTGCTCTGCTTGTGATTTGAATCAATCGTCTTTGAGTTAGAACTGTGCTATTAAGAGAATCGAAACCACTAGTATGTACAATCCAGAAGGAATAGTGCACAATAATAATGCTTGCGTTACATTCAGAAATGCTGTTTGTAATGTAAACTGATTTCATTAAGCTAGCTGAGAAAGACTTTATGTCGCCTCACAGCCTTCACAAACACCATAAAGCGTGAACCTTTAAAATGATCCTTGTCCTACTGTTGCACTAAACTGTTAAGCACTTACAACATTATAATGCTCAAAGGCAGAGGATATAGATAGAAGTTTCATTCCGTCTTTCACACAAGCATAACTGTAAATCTGACAAAACTGCGCACTTGTCACAGGCCATATTATGTCTAGTGCACACTGTATTTTCTTTTTTTATTTTAAGGCATTGAACAACCATGCTATATGCAACATTTGGCATCTTGTTTTTGGCGATAATACCGCTTAACTAGGTCTTTATTGGAAACATAAGTACAGTAAAACCTCTATCAAGGTTACTGTCAATCAGGCAAGCACCAACAGACTATCACTATAGAACTCTAATGGTACTGAAATTGGTTTATAATAAACAAATGGCTGCTATTTTCACTATTTTGTCACAGACTCTGCAGAACATTGCCGCGAAGGAAGCATCGGTGCCATCATTGCAACACTGTTAAGCTGTGCTTTCTTCTAAAGTCTTGGTATTTTGAGCATCAATTATTTTGCAGTACAGTTCTAACAGGCACAATATCGTGAGTTAGACGTGCTGCCACCTTGGGGCAGCATGTGCTGGCGTATATTTATTTTCTGTACAACCACGCCGAGTGGAGACTGTAGATACACAACATGAACATGCTTATGGGCAGGTCTGTCATGTTTGGGCTAAAATGGTGGCCTCGTCCAGTTTGATATCGTTTGTAGCGCGTCATTATCGTCATTTTAGTGATTCTTGCAGCGGAACTGTGTGAGTGACATCGGTTTTACACGAAAACGGCACCGCTGCAACAGGAAGTTAGGCATGCGGAAGTTCAGCTTTCTTTGTGTATTCCGTTTTATGGTTGTTTTAATTTGGCAAAAAGCTCTTGCATTTTTTATTTATACGCATTTACTGGATACCTTTCCGGTCGTGGATTATGTATTACTGGGTAAACGAGTATCTTCTTTTTACGTGGTTAGATTCAATCTGGTTTGATATTTTGTGTAAAACATGTTAAAATTACAGCAAACACGGTCATATTACATCCCGAAATACAAAACATTTACAACAAAATTCATGCAATGCCCTGATACCTATATTTTGTATAAATGCAATGATTATTCGTGCATTTTTGCTACTACCCAGGGCATGTAGTGCGTGTATGCTTATGCTCCCCTCAATGGCCTGTCTTTTTTATTAAATCCTAGATCTCTGTCAGGGAGGTCAAAATCAGTGCAGGGGATGGACGAGCAGAAATGCAACTGCGACGAGAATGACTCTGAACCAACATGTAAGTGTCTCAGTTTGCATGATCAGTAAAACTAGAACAAAGGAGTTGGACATAGAAATCGTTACATTTAAGGTAATACAAAAGTGAATCAAACCCTAAAACCTTAACAAATCACTATTTTAAAACAGCTGATGAAAATGCCCCTGAAAAGCAATGTGTCCTCCCTGAAGAGGAGTCTAAAGCACTTCCGGCTATGGACGGATCAACCCCCCGCTGCACATCTCTGTAAAATCAATATTTATCTTTGTCTATAAAGTTTTTATGTGTAAGTATTAACTGTTCAGTTTGTTTTTGACAGACGAGCTTGTGCACTCTGCAACTGCGTAGAGCGCAGTCTGCATGGACAGCGGGAACTGAGACACTTTGGGACGTCTACAGACAAACCAACCCTCAAGCCATCAGCCTCCTCACTGCCACAGCCCGGGAATGATGACCTGTCTTCCATAGGATTTTCTGAATCCTCATGTCTAGCAGCACTCTTGGATGATTCGGGTAAATTTTATACAGTTTATTTCCAGCAGCTTTTCCAGTGATCTTTAGTCATCTTCTTTGTTCTCATGGTCTTCTTCTGTGATGTGCAGGGGGTTGCTGGGTTCATCATTGGTGTGCTGTATGGTCAGAGGGAGTCAAGCAGATGGAAAACGAAAAACTGGAGAATGTGGAGAAGGCTGTTATCTCAGGGACACAGCGGGTAACTACACTTTCTCTTCTTTAAATCTACAGATACATTGTACGAAAAATGATTATCACTGCTTTTTTTTTTTTTTTTTTTTTTTAAAAAGCTATGCGACTATTGCAAAAAGCTAGGTGCAACCATTCGATGCCATGCTGAGGGCTGCTCACGGTTTTATCACTTCCCTTGTTCTGCTGCAAGTGGATCCTTCCAGTCTATGAAACACTTGGCTCTTCTCTGTCCACAGCATATAGACAAGGCTGAGGAGTTGGGTAAGAAACCAGCCCTATTGGTACTCTATTGTCCTAATGACAAAAAAAAATAATAAGTTATACACTCTAACACAATTTTAATGCCTCATCTGCCCCATTTGTAGCAGGTGAGGAGTCTTGGTGTGCAGTGTGCGACTCAGCCGGGGAGCTCACAGACTTGTTGTTCTGTACCAGTTGTGGTTTACATTACCATGCTGCTTGTTTGGAAATTGGAGCAACACCCATTCAACGGGCAGGCTGGCAATGTCCAGAATGTAAAGTGTGCCAGACTTGCAGGTAAGATCTCAACATAAATGCACCAACCTGCATCATTTACACTAAAAATAAACAAGCCTAATATTCATAGATTTTAGATTGTGTACATTTCTTAAATTTAAGAATCATATTTTTAGGCAACCTGGAGAAGACTCCAAAATGTTGGTCTGTGATGCCTGTGATAAGGGCTACCACACATTTTGTCTTCAGCCAGCTATGGATTCGCTTCCCTCTGATCCATGGAAATGCAGAGTAAGTTCAGTTTTAGTTTTGAAAGGACCTATAGGTGTCTGTTGCCAATCATGTATAATGTTTAATGGAAACATAGACCTTTCACATTCACACTTGAAAAACTTCCATTAATTGTATTAAGATGATTTTCTGATTATTATTTTAAATCAATCTTTCCTTTTGCCAGCGGTGTCGCATTTGCTCTGAGTGTGGGGTTCGAGGAATAGCACTCCCAGGCTCTGCTCAATGGTTTGACAACTATGCCATTTGTGATGACTGTCAGCGGGATCGCACTGCAGTGTGTTGTGTGTGCAGTACAACTGTAAACCCTTCTGCTCAATGCTGCTGCTCTCTGTGCCACAGGTAAGTCTTATCTTGTTACAAGTTGAAAGTGCTTCATAGGTGTCGTCCAATTGCCATGTATACTAACAGTCCCTAAATTCTCTTAGATGGGTACACAGAGCATGCACCTCACAACCAAATCGGCTAGAAACAAAGTATATCTGCCTGCTTTGTAAAGAAACTCATCAACACACAACAGATCAAAGTGGAGAAGTGTGTGAGGAGGTTATGGAAAAAGGAGCCAACTGCGAAGAAAAAACGCCGGATCACACTAAAACCTCAGAGATTGATCAAACTGAAACACTGATAGAGCTGGGTATGACGGGACATTACAAAATCCCTAAAACCTTTTTTGTGTAGATTTGGATCTTTAATTATTTTCTTTTAGGTACGAATTCATGTGTGGAAATATCAGATGTTGGGGAGAAATCAGTGGAGGAGTCATCCCAGATTGAAGGGTTCATTTCAGATAATCATACAAATGTAATTAATACCACAAGTAAGTCATGCTTCTTTTAAAATAAATACAAAGACATACTTTATATTGTGCAAGATGTGCCCTATCTAATTATACATTTGCCCACATAAACACTAATAATTATACATTCCTTACCACAACAGAACAGGGCAGTTCTTGTCTGGAGTCTAATGAAAGAAGACCATCACAAGATTTCAGCCAGCACACAGGTTCAGAAGGCAAAGAGGACTCAGACCCAACATCGAACACAGACCCTGAAAACATGGAAGTGGATTATACAGACAGCACTGTAGTGCCACAACCTGTGAATATATTTCCTCTAAAACAGTCAGAACTTGGCATGATCTTGGCTGATCTGCAGGACATTTCAACAGATGAAAAAGATGAAGACTCTGAGTCACGACTGCTGCCTCACTCCGAGGATGAGGATGAAGATGAGGAGACCATCAAGCAGGATTTAGCTTTGGTCAAACCTGAGCTGCTGCTGGACGAGATGTCCAACATGAGCCATGGTGATGAGAGCAGTAGTGGTTTTCTGGGTTCACCAGGGGAACCAGACCTCATGCCCCGCTCAGATAACCTGACCGAGACTGATGACTCGCTCCCCTTTGAACCAACGAGAAGTGAGAGAGAAAAGGCAAAACGTAGAGGCTCACCAGGACGCTCAAGGATCAAACAGGCAAGATCTACACCTGCTTCATCAACATTTTAACACCTGTTTCGTTTGACTTATGTATAAAAAATAACTTTTCTTTTGTATTTAGGGGCGTAGTAATAGTTTTCCTGGAAGACGTCGCCCTCGTGGGGGCGGATCAGGCAGGGGACGTGGAGGAAGGTCGCGCCTTAAAGCAATGGCCTCTTGCATAGATGCATTTTTGGTAAGAATACCATTCTACCATTTATGGATTTTTATTGTTCATGATTAAAACAAAAATACTAAAGTACATGTATTTTTAGCTAAGCATGACTGCAGACACAGGACTAAGTAAGGAGGAAGATGATGAGGAAGATGATAGCATGCAGAATACAGTGGTTTTGTTTTCCAACACTGATAAATTTGTCCTGCTTCAGGTATGACTTGGATATTGTTTAGTATTTGTGAGTTACATTTTTAATTTAGCCAATGTCATAATAAAATATGTTTCTGTTCTGCATAATCATTCATCCCTTCATCTTTCAGGATATGTGCGTTGTATGTGGCAGTTTTGGAAAAGGTATTGAAGGACAACTTCTGGCATGTGCACAGTGCTCTCAGTGTTATCATCCATATTGTGTAAACAGTAAAGTAAGTAAAATGTAATTTGGTTATTTTTCTAATTGATGTACGTCTTAACTTAAAACATCTTGCCCTAGATCACAAAGACAATGCTTCGTAAGGGTTGGCGTTGTTTGGAATGCATTGTATGCGAGATGTGTGGAAAGGCCTCAGACCCTTCCCGGCTGCTGCTCTGTGACGATTGTGATGTTAGCTATCACACCTACTGCCTGGACCCCCCTCTGCACACAGTACCCAAAGGAGGCTGGAAGTGCAAATGGTAAGAAATGAAATGGAACATAAGTGTTGCTTTGTTGGTAGCTGTCTTTTTTTTTTTTTTTAAAGTTCCTAATTCAAATAAACCCTTCTGAACATTTGCATACTATGTAAATGTATTATGTCAGTACTGTATTGGTATCACAAGGAAGCAGTCTGTCCAACAACATTCACAACTTAGTCTTTGTATGTATTTTTCCACACTAATTACATACAAAACTATTGGGTTCTTGTGTTCAGGTGCGTTTGCTGTGTGCAGTGTGGTGCCAACTCACCAGGTTTTCATTGCGAGTGGCAGAATAACTACAACCACTGTGGCCCCTGTGCTAGCCTTGTTACCTGTCCAGTATGCAAAGAAAATTTTATGGAGGAGGAGCTACTGCTGCAATGCCAGTACTGTGACCGGTGAGTCTTGATCCACAAGTAATTTACACACAAACATTTCTTTGATAAATAATGCACTTGATGTTTTGTGCAGATGGGTGCATGCTGTCTGTGAGAGTCTGTACACAGAGGATGAGGTGGAGCAGGCCTCAGATGAGGGTTTTGCCTGCACATCTTGCTCTCCATATGTACCTAAACCTGTGGGTAAGTGAGAAGGATTTAGTGCTTTTGACTTCCTCCCAACAAATGACACATTTTGACTTTTCTTCTCTTCTACTCTTCTCACCTTCTGTTAACATAGTGGAATCTGCTATTATGGCTTCAATAAAACTGAAAGAGCCAGGTTTGTTCAGTTATGATTTTATTACCATCACTTGTTATTTTTGGTTTTAAGTTACTGAACAAATTTGTAATTTCTTCATCTACAGAACCACAGTTCTACAGGCTGGAGGGTGTGTGGCTGACTGAGTCAGGCATGTCCCTGCTTCGTAGCATGTCTATGTCTCCCCTTCACAAGAGACGCCAAAGGCGGTCCCGTCTCGGCACTTTGTCCTGTGATGGAGGTGTAGATGGATTAGATTTGAAGGAGGGAGATGGCGATGGAGATGATGGGAAAAGTAAACAGAATCATATTTTTAAAGTACTGACTGGAAAAAAATATATTTAAAACCTTTTTTTGTATAGCTTGTGGGGAGCCCATGGACTGTGACTCTAAGCTGGAGAATCCTGGAAGCCCTGACAGGGAAGGGACTGTTGATGTTGGTCCTGATGGTATTGCCGAATGTGATGCTATGAAAGGAGCTGAAGAGATGGAGGATGGCAAGAAAAGAAAGCGTAAACCCTATAGGCCTGGTAAGAAGACTTTTTTTTTAAATATACGTGTGATATGTCTTCTCTGAGCATACATTCATTGTCTCTTATCTGAATCTACAGGCATTGGAGGTTTTATGGTGAGACAGAGGAAGTGTCACACACGATTAAAAAAGGAATTCTTTGCGCAATTGGCTGGAGAAACCACTTTAGATGGACAACCAATAGAAAGGACCATTGAAGAGGGTAAGTAGAGGTTAATTACTGTGCACCAGATGCCTAACAGGGACATAGGATAAGTAAGGTTTCTTGAAACATGTGATTGCAAAATGAATTTGGTGTGTTAAAAATAAACTGTGCAGGACCTCACCCGGACACAGACAACATCATGGATCCTAAACCAGCAGATGGAGAAGAACAGGCCAAAAAACGCAGAGGTCGAAAGAAAAGTAAATTGGAGGATATGTTTCCAGCTTATCTTCAGGTTAGTTTTTTAATGTTCTGTAAAACAACTTTTTAAATTCAAATGGAGAGCTTTTTTTTAATCATTGGTGTATTGCAGGAGGCTTTCTTTGGCAAGACACTGATTGACTTGAGTAAAAAAGTTGTGATGACCCCTCCTGGACCACGACCATGTCTTGCTCGACCTCCAGCTTTACCAGAGCCTGGTTTTAAAACTGCTGCCCTAGAAAGTAAGGTCACCTACATTATTTGTAATAAGAGACACTTTGAAAATCTGCAACCTGTCATCTTGATGTATTTTTCATTAGATGAGACAAAGGACTGCATAATCAACAACCATCCCATTAAGCAGGAAGGGAGTGTCCCTCAGGCTCAGGGAGAAGGTAAGTGAGGACTAGGAGATTAGTTGATTTGTCCTAACTGATGTCTGGCTATAATTATCATGTTTTTAGGTGCACCTGTCCCCTCATCATCCTTGAAAGAACAGATGTCATCTCATTCTCAAATTTTAGCTGCAGAGAAAAATAAAAGTATGGAAAAATTCTTTCAGATTTGACCATGAAAAAAAGGATTTTAAAAATTTGTCTCTCGCACCAATTTGTCCAGGTCTTCCTCAAGGGGTAGAGAATCAGGACTCAGAACAGTTCTTCAAAAAGGTTCTGGGAGTGTCGGAGAGCTCCTCATTGGGCAATATGAAGCCTATTTTGGAGGGCAATAAGGGAGAACTCACTCATACTTCTATATCAGAGAGAGCTCCCCTCTCAGGTAATACTTATTTTAATTTAAAAATAATATAACTTGTCCTTCAATACTAATCATCAACATTGTTATACAGGGTCTCTGCCCTCAACTGGAATGGTAGAAGCTTTTCCTGCTTTGTCTCAGTCACCTTTTTTTGACATGCGGTATTGCTCTCCATTTTTTTACGTTATAACTTAACTATTAGCGTTCTTCTATGGATGTAAATGCTGTGATGCTGCGTTTTGTGATGAACTGCAAAATAATTATTTTCTAATTTTATTATTTGCCTTTCTATAGTGACCGTGGTGGACTATTCAGTCCAGATGGTGGAGATGAAAGTCCATGGGCTACTCCCTCTACACCAGCAACACCCTCCTCACCCCCCACTCCCACAGAAGCAGAGGGAGACGGCTTGTCCTACAACCAGCGCAGTCTGCAGCGCTGGGAGAAAGACGAGGAACTAGGGGAACTTTCCACCATTTCTCCTGTCCTTTATGCCAATACCAACTTTCCTACTCTTAAACAAGACTACCCAGGTGACTATTGTACTTTAAAAAGGACTTATTGTGTTTTTTTAATAACATTTATTTATAATGTTTGATAGACATACATTATTATTATACATTTTACATCATACACAACATTGATCGAAAGCAGCTGAGTAGAATCTGATCCGTTGACTTCTGGGGAACTGGTTTCAGTTTGCGCCTTTATGCTATGTGACTTTAAATCAACAGTTTTCACACTGTTACATGAGCTTGTTCTGGTGGTACAGCCTCCTCTTCAGTTCCAGTATTAACTTAATAAATGTAAAATACAAAAATTCCCCACATTTTTCTCCTTTTTTGGATTAGTCTTTGTGTAGAACTTGAACTTGAACCAAGTCTATAAATTAGACCTCATTTAGCCCTAATTTATAGACTTGGTTTAGGTCCAGTGGTACTTGGAAGGCTAAATAATTTCTTATGTGGTACTTGTTTTGAAAAGGGAGGGAAAATCATGCTCAAAAGCTCATAAGTCTATTTTTAATGTGTCCTCTCTTTTTACTTTCTGCACAACACAAACATACATTCAAACTTTTTTCCTCTACAGACTGGGCAAGTCGCTGTAAGCAGATCATGAAAATTTGGAGGAAAGTGTCTGCTGCTGACAAAGTACCATACTTGGTAATTTGATTATTATTATCATATTTATTTTGAAAGGGAGTTTAAGCTGGCCATTTGTTCATGTACTGCTTAGTCGGTTGGTCTTGAAATGTTCATAATGCTTTTTGGGACTGTTCTGTTCTGCAGTTGTAAAGAGAAATTACTTGTATGTGCAAACTATTCCTGAATACCTCGGGTGCCACATGTGTCATTTCTAACAATTGGTTAAAGTATAAACAACACTTGAATAGGAATATACCCACAATGTTATATTGGTAAAACACTTGCAATGCTTGACAGCCTGGGTTCAGATTTGAACAATTATTCTATATATGAGATTTTGTGATGAATCCATTAGAATAAGAATATTATTGTTACTGACCATCCATAAGTCTGATATTATTTGTGTTTGTATATCTGCTTGGCATTATTATTATTACTTTTATATAGTTTCAGCATTTGACTAATTCTTTGTTTTCTTTTAGCAAAAGGCCAAAGATAATAGAGCTGCTCAGAGGATCAACAAGGCACAGAAGGTAAGTCTACTGCTTGAATATAGTTTCTTGAAACTACCAATGTGTTAGTCATTGTTTTAATATTGATTATGTTCATTTGATACAGCAGGCAGAGATTCAAGTGTGTAGGCCTGTAAATGCAGAGCCCGGTCAGGTGAAGGGGGAACGGCCCAGCTTACACCTGCATATTCCTCCACCTTCTGGCTCCACGTCTGTTTCCTCCCAACCCAGCTCTGCAGGAAGCCCTTTTCCTTTTCCCCCAGGCTCGGGTTCATCCTCTGTCTTTTTCTCGGATGGACCTGTTAAAACTCCAGGATCAGCTGAAATCCGGACAGATCCCCTCTCCAGGCTTCCTTTACAGTCATCCCATTCTTATACTCACTCATCTACACAATTTTCTCATTCAGGGGCAAGTCCATTACATGCCCCCTCCTCAGGTTTTTCCTCTTCCGGCCCACTGGGTACTCCTCAGGGACGGCCAGCCAGTCTCGGCCCCTTTGACATGCAACCAGGAACACCTGGAACCCCAAGACGGGCTCAGCAGGTTGACCCTTATTTTAGATCACAGTTGCAGCAGCAACATGTTCTTCTTTCACAATCCCAGCATGGTTCTCAGGAGTCTTTAGGACCTCCACAAAGTCCTCATTCACGAGGTCCTGCATGTGGAGAGTCTTCTGTCTTCTCTCCAACTCACAATTCTCATTATGGGGATCCATTCAGGATTCAGCAAGGGACGGGGAGAACTGAATTTCATTCCTCACCATCTCCCTCTGCTTTGGTTTCGTCACCTGCAAGCACAGGACAGTACAGGGCTGATTTGAGTGCTGCTTCCCCCCGTCCCTCCTCTGTAAGACAAGACCCAACAGGCATGCTCGAGTCTGCTGGTAATTTATTTAAGGCTCCAATGACTCCTCGAATGCACCAAGGTGATGGCGGTGCCCCTCAGCCCGGAGCATCTCCAAACCATCCCTCTGAAGGTTACAGGCAGTCCTCTTCAAATACTTACACCGAAGGACATGGCCAATCTCCACTCACTCCAAGACCTCAATCTGGAGACAGCCCTCTGGCCCAGAGAAACACAGGTCAGCTTGACCCATGCTCCAGAGTGCTCTCCAGCCCTCATTCCCAAGGAAGCTCCCAGTCTCCTCACACTCCTGGTGCTCTCTCAAATGAGGCTGTTCACTCGCCAGCTCCTCCTCGGTTTCAATCTCCAGACCCAGGCTCTCAGCCGCCATCTAGGCCTCAATCTAGAGATCCATTTTCTAATGTACACAAGCCTCGTTCATCACCATCTGAGGGAAATGTGGGATACAAAGGGTCCCCTCATCCTAATCAACCTCTTCCTTCCCATCAAGGCAACAATTCTCAAGTAGATTCTCTATGTGGTAAACCATCAATGACTCCTTACAGTGGTAGTCCCAACAATTCAGGACATTCATTACCCCCACAGCACACTCAAATGAATCAGGGACAGCTTCATCAGCCCCATCCACACCCTGCCTCTGCCTGCCAAGAAGGTCTCACTGTGCGACCAGCTGATGCATCTCCTCAGACTCCTTTGTCAGGTTCCCAAGACAGCTCCCAAGAAGACCCTGCTTTGATTGGTTTAAGCCCATCTGAAGTAGAGAAGCATAAACAGGTATGTTTCATGAACTTAGGTATGTTGACATATTTTTAATATTTTCAAGTGTCAAGTGTACATTCCCCCCCCCCCCTTTAGCGTCAGAAACTGCGTGAGTTTCTAATTCGACAGCAGATCCAGAAAAAAGAGGCAGCTGCTGCTGCATCCGGCAGTACATCACCTGGTTGGTCTGGAGGCGAATCACCTGCTTTTCAGCAGGAACGTGTCAGCAGAGCACCACCCCCATATCCACAGGTGTGTATAATACTCTCCCACAAAAAAAAGTTGATTTATACATTGCACGAATACTTATATACCAAAATACTTGATTTGTTGTGTTTATGGTTACTTTCAGGATCGTGTCAGTGCTGTGACTGCTGTTGTTGTAACACAACAAGTTTCCAAGACTCCCAGCATTACTCCCAGTGGTCCTCAACAAATGGGAAACCTACCAGTCATAGATCCCTGCACAGTACGGTTAGTGCCTCATTGCATATTCATAATACGTCATAATATGATTCACTTTTAGATCCTGGAAAAAAATTGAGGTGGTACTGGTACCAGGAAAAAATAAAGCTCAAAACGATATTTGTTTAGGAGAGCATAATAAATTGTTTCTAGGCACCCGTAACACAAATTAATGAGTAAATTTTAATTTAATGAAATGCATTAGCATTGTGTTCTCTTGTCAGGTTGTATAATGACTAGTAGCAAAGTTTGTACTGTTTAGGTACCGATACTGAAAACTATGCAATGTTAAATGCCACATGCGAAATATTGAGTGCGTATACATGCACATCAGTATCCCGGTTATGATAGGGTTTTTTGAGTATCCCGGTTTCTTCATGGTGCATGTATACGCAGTACCCCGGGTTCAGTATCCTGGTTATGGCAGTATCCCGTTTACCGGGTTACTGTAGCTGGTATATTCCGATAGTAACCGGGATACTGTGGCATGTATACGCAGTATCCTGGTTACAGCAACATAAAGTTGAGCGCGCCTGCGTCCAAAAGACGAACACTATCCAGTCTTTTCCCCGCTGTAGCAGCATAAATAAAGTGACCAGCATAAATTGAGTGACCATACATGAGTGAAATGACTTTAAAATAAAGAACTGCGCTAAACCAGCACACGTACAATCTGCACTCGTATGACCTGCACACGTGTGATCGCTGAAAAGCTAAAACATGAACTATCTCCTATACGATATACACACAGAACAGACTTACCATCATTAGCGCCTCTTCTGTCTCAAAAAGAACACACATAATCCACTGTCGTGTCATTTAGTCCGAAAGGAGCTGAACCGCATCAGCGGCACAATGAGCTAGCTGTTTTTTGTTAGGCCCGAGCCCCGACAGGGCGTAGGGCCTATTGCTTCCGCTCAGCGGAGCGAATGGGAAGGGACGTGCGCATGTCCGAATGTGACAAGACGACATGCAACTATGTCCACGGTCGCCCCCGGCACAAACAGCAGTATCCCAGTAACCCACGCCCAAGGCCTGGCTCATATTTACTACTGCTAAAATGAATGGAAGTCAATGGGAGGTCGGGGGCCGACCCCGACGAGATGGTCCAGACGCGCCCGTCACTCACCAATGACCCCACGGTGACGTGGGGAAGGTCGAGAGCTTTCAAAAAATGTATAATATGTTGTTCTAATGTTTTCGGATATATTGTTTTTGCTCAAATTATTATTATTAGGCCCGAGCCCCGACAGGGCGTAGGGCCTATTGCTTCCGCTCAGCGGAGCGAATGGGAAGGGACGTGCGCATGTCCGAATGCGACAAGACGACATGCAACTATGTCCACGGTTGCCCCCAGCACGAACAGCAGTATCCCAGTAACCCACGCCCAAGGCCTGGCTCATATTTACTACTGCTAAAATGAATGGAAGTCAATGGAAGGCGATGGGTGACCTCGACGAGATGGCGAATGACGAGCGCGTCAGTGCCCGTCACTCACCAATGACCCCACGGTGACGTGGGGAAGGTCGAGAGCTTTCAAAAAACGTATAATATGTTGTTCTAATGTTTTCGGATATATTGTTTTTGCTCGAATTATTATTATTATTTTATTTTATTATTCTTCTGCTCTTTAAACCCTAATTTGACCCCCTAAACACGTTCAAAAACTCACCAAACTTTGCCCAAAATTCAGAAGTGGCGAAAAATTCGATAAAATATAGGTTTCGTGCACGGGCATAAAAAAATGGCGACACAGCGCCACCTCGAAAAGTCAAAATACATTGCGCCTATGGGAGACGTCCCGACGTCAACTTTGTCATAGAGCCACGAAATTCGGTACACACATTCGTCATGTCAAGACAAACAAAAAATTTTATTATGGCCACGCCCCCTGACAAACCAGAAGGCGGCCATCTTGGATTGAAGTTTGAGTCCGCATTTTCGCTGATGTTGCGTTTGAACGAACTCCTCTGAAGGCGCTTCACCCACAGGGCTGAAAATCACCGTACATCATCTAGACAAGTGGAACATCTAAAGTTAGCTGATTTTTTTTGATAACTGTCACGGTTTACGTGCGGCTAAGCCGCAAAATTTGGTCAAAATTTTGCCTAATTTCAAGGTGACATTATTTGCTCCTGTTCACACAGACTTAGTCCGATCGTGCTGAAATTTGAATCACTAATGTGTGATCTCAGTCTGAATATAATACACTATAAAACATATGAAAAGTGAACACTATAGCGCCCCCTACCGTATACATGAAATGTCAACATTGTCGGATCTGCACCAAATTTGGCAATTAAATCCTATATATGATTACGAGTAAAAAAGTATATTATGGCCATGTTAAAATTTTCACTGTTGGCCAGCAGGGGCGCAAAGACTCAACAATTTTGCGCCTATGGGAGACGTCCCGGTCAACTTTGTCGTACAGCCATGAAATTCGGTACACACATTCATCATGTGAAGACAAACAAAAAATGTTATTATGGCCACACCCCCTGACAAACCAGAAGGCGGCCATCTTGGATTGAAATTTCAGTCCGCATTTTCGCTGACGTTGCATTTGAACGAACTCCTCTGAAGGTGCTTCACCCACAGGGCTGAAAATCACCGTACATCATCTAGACAAGTGGAACATCTAAAGTTAGCTGATTTTTTTTGATAACTGTCACGGTTTACGCACGGCGAAGCCACAAATTTCGATCAAAATTTTGCCTAATTTCAAGGTGACATTATTTGCTCCTGTTCGCACAGACTTAGTCCGATCGTGTTGAAATTTGAATCACTAATGTGTGATCTCAGTCTGAATATAATACACTATAAAACATATGAAAAAACACTATAGCGCCCCCTACCATAGACATGAAACGTCAACATTGTCGGATTTGTACCAAATTTGGGAATTCAATTCTATTAATGACTAGAAGAAAAAACATATATTACTGACATGGGAATTTTTCAAGGTTGGCCAGCAGGGGGCGCAAAGAACATCTAAAGGCGTACTATGTCATTTTGCTGTTTGCAGGCACAGACTTTGCGGACACGGCGTTTAGGGTATGGTGTTGGCGGGGCGCACCATTTGTTGGCGCGGTGTTTGCGGGCGCGGCGGGTGCGGCGGGCACGGCGGGCGAGGGCCGTTCGACGCCGCTTGCGGCTTTAATTATTTTTTTTTTTATTATTATTATTCTTCTGCTCTTTAAACCCTAATTTGACCCCCTAAACACGTTCAAAAACTCACCAAACTTGGCCCAAAATTCAGAAGTGGCGAAAAATTCGATAAAATATAGGTTTCGTGCACGGGCATAAAAAAATGGCGACACAGCGCCACCTCGAAAAGTCAAAATACATTGCGCCTATGGGAGACGTCCCGACGTCAACTTTGTCGTAGAGCCACGAAATTCGGTACACACATTCATCATGTCAAGACAAACAAAAAATGTTATTATGGCCACGCCCCCTGACAAACCAGAAGGCGGCCATCTTGGATTGAAATTTGAGTCCGCATTTTCGTTCACATTGCGTTTGAACGAACTCCTCTGAAGGCGCTTCACCCACAGGGCTGAAAATCACCGTACATCATCTAGACAAGTGGAACATCTAAAGTTAGCTGATTTTTTTTGATAACTGTCACGGTTTTCGTGCGGCGAAGCCGCAAATTTTGGTCAAAGTTTTGGCGAATTTCAAGGTGACATTATTTGCTCCTGTTCGCACAGACTTAGTCCGATCGTGTTGAAATTTGAATCACTAATGTGTGATCTCAGTCTGAATATAATACACTATAAAACATATGAAAAAACACTATAGCGCCCCCTACCATAGACATGAAACATCAACATTATCAGATCTGCACCAAATTTGGGAATTACATTCTATGCATAATTACGAGCAAAAAAGTATATTATGGACATGGCGAATTTTTCACTGTTGGCCAGCAGGGGCGCTAAAACTCCTCCCAAACATAGAAAAAAATATATTACACGCACATGCTTAGTCCGATCGTGCTGAAATTTGAATCACTAATGTGTGATCTCTGTCTGAATATAATACACTAAAAAACATATGAAAAGTGAACACTATAGCGCCCCCTACCATAGACATGAAACGTCAACATAGTCAGATCTGCACCAAATTTGGGAATTAAATTCTATGCATGATTACGAGCAAAAAATTATATTATGGACATGATACCATTTTCACTGTTGGCCAGCAGGGGCGCAAAGACTCAAAAATTTGGCTCCTATGGGATACGTCCCGGTCAACTTTGTCATAGAGCCATGAAATTCGCTACATACATTTTTCATGTCAAGACAAACAAAAAATTGTATTATGGCCACGCCCCCTGACAAACCAGAAGGCGGCCATATTGGATTGAAGTTTCAGTCCGCATTTTCATTCACATTGCGTTTGAACGAACTCCTCTGAAGGTGCTTCACCCACAGAGCTGAAAATCACCGTACATCATCTAGACAAGTGGAACATCTAAAGTTAGCTGATTTTTTTTGATAACTGTCACGGTTTACGTGCAGCGAAGCTGCAAAATTTGGTCAAAGTTTTGGCGAATTTCAAGGTGACATTATTTGCTCCTGTTCGCACAGACTTAGTCCGATCGTGTTGAAATTTGAATCACTAATGTGTGATCTCAGTCTGAATATAATACACTATAAAACATATGAAAAAACACTATAGCGCCCCCTACCATACACATGAAACATCAACATTGTCGGATCTACACCAAATTTCGGAATTCAATTATATTAATGACTAGAAGAAAAAACATATATTGCTGACATGGGAATTTTTCAAGGTTGGCCAGTAGGGGGTGCAAAGAACATCTAAAGGCGTACTATGTCATTTTGCCATTTGCAGGCACAGACTTTGCGGACACGGCGTTTACGGTATGGTGTTGGCGGGGCACACTATTTGCGGGCACGGCGTTCGCGGGCGCGGCATTCGCGGGCGCTGCGTTCGCGGGCGCGGCGGGCGAGGGCCGTTCGACGCCGCTTGCGGCTTTAATTTTGTTTTGTTTTTTATCACTGCTAACAGTTTGTGCTAATTAACCACGTGGTCTTAAGTTTTGTTTCTGTAAAATGTAAACAAATGTGTCAAAGCTTAATTATATTATCAAACGGGCTCATGTGGCTTCATAGTGGTTATGGTTTAGATGTTGTAAAGTTGAGTTTATTTTTATTTTTAGAAGATTTTAATGAAGAATCTGTTGGGTTTGATCTGTTCAGTGGATTGTGGGATATCTCATAGCTCCTTAATGCTGGTTAAACCTCCTGAGCTTCCTATGCTAAAGGAGCTCATGGTTTGTATTTTTCCTGGGTTATTAAATTGATTTAAGTTATTTTTTGCGCTTGCGCATTTGTAAGATTATGTCAAGAAACCGGGATACTCCATTTGATCATGTATACAGGGATATGAGTATCCCGGTTTCTCAGTGCGCATGTATACGCAGTATCCCGTATACTGACATGACCGAGATATGGCTAATAACTGGGATACTGATGTGCATGTATACGCACTCATTGAAGGGTTCCCTGCCCTGCACCCAAATGCGATGATCTTCTTGTTCATTAAGAGAACCAAGTCATTATGCAACTCAAAAACCTCATGTTTACCATTGCAGTATCCTATGTTGCATTACCTCACAGTAATAGTAATGTTGATAAATGATAATGATAATTGTTTGTACTATTCCAGGCTGTCCGGACCCAATAAACCTCCAGGGATCTTTGCTCGTCCACCTATACCTCCTCAGTGGCAGACTCAGGGTCCAGCTCCACAGAGGGTTTTGCAGCCAGGAATGGAAACAATGAGCATAAGGCATAATCTCAACCAGGCAGTTAACATGCAGGATATCAACAACCCCCTCAATACAATGCAAGGAGAAAGCATGCAGACTCTGAGTCACGCACCTCCACCACAGTTTATTGAACTAAGACACAATTCTCAAAGGCTGCCTATGAGGCCCCATTTTATGCCACGTGGACCGCAGCCTAGACCACGTCTTTTTGTTCCCCACCAGGAGATGATTTCACCATATGTGCAACAACATCCCATAGCTCAAAACAGTACTGTTCCATCAGAGAAATCCCAGTTAGCGTTACAGCAAGGTGGACTATCGGTTTTAATGCCTCAGCAGATGGCAAGAACAGTAACGGGTTCTTCACCTGTCAATCCCCTTCCCCAGCAGAGTTTAGTCGCTCAGTCTGCCAATAATCACAGTGAGGATCTACCAGAGGCAGACCTGGAAGGGCTGGGAGATACTGGAGGTGACGCTGGGGTTGAGGATGAAGATGATCTCGCTCTGGACCTGGATCCTGACAAAGGGGATGATGCTTTGGGCAATCTGGATAACCTCGAAGCCAATGATCCACATCTTGATGACTTGCTAAACAGTGATGAATTTGATCTTTTGGCTTACACAGATCCAGAGTTGGACCAAGGAGACCCAAAGGATGTCTTCTCTGACCAGTTGCGGCTGGTTGAAGCTGAAAGTGAGACACCTTCTTCTGGGCCTGTGCGTGTAAAAGTAGAAGACAAGTCACACAGGTCAAAGACCTCTTCAACGACTGAGGGTAGCACTAGCCAGACGTCATTGTCTGCTCCAAACACAAATGCAGCCCAAGTGAAAGTTGAAGATGGAGGTCTGGACACTCAGCAGCAGCTCTCTGGTCAGGCTACTGTGAAAACAGAAATGGGTGATCTTCTTAGAGCAAGCAAGTCCCATTCAGAAAACCAGCAAACCCCCCTAAGCTCTGTTCGATTAGGGGGCCTTTCATACCCCCTCCCAGGCCCGAGTGACCATCTGACATTCTCAGAAGCTCCACATACAGATATTAGTGATGATCCATTGGGACTGCCCGATGTAGGTGGACAGTCTCCTGCTGTGGATTTGGCAAAGGTTGAGAGTTCTTTAGATGGTGAGCTGCCATTATTAATACAAGATCTTTTGGAGCATGAGAAAAAAGAACAACAAAAACAACAGCAGCAGCAACAGCTTGGTAGCCTCCATCAGGGGGGTCCTCCATACAGTTTGCAGGGTCAGCCAAACCCACAGATGTCCGCTCAGATGATATTGCCACATCACCGTTCACCTGCTCAAGGGATGATGTCTCAACAGGGAATAGTTCCACGAGTGCCAAATCTTATGCAGCAAAGGCCCATGGGTCCTGGAATGGCAAATCAACCTCATATAAATATGTCCCAGCAGCAAGCAATGATGCGGATGGGGCAGCCTGGAGCAATACCTTCACAGTCGGGAGTGAAACGGCCTCCTCTGACCAACAATCTCTTTCCAGATAAAGGCAAGGAATATGTTTTGTTATTTTTTCACCACTTGCCAACTGTGTTTCCTCTGTTCTAATTTCAACAATGTTTTATTTTACAGATTTGGACAAATTTGTAACAGATGACATCATGGACCCTATTGCTAAAGCAAAAATAATGGCTCTTCAAGGAATCAAAAGGGTTCTCACAGACCCAATGGTTGTTCCTCCTGGGATTAACAGGTATTTTGGGTTTGTGAGCCTTATCTCAAACACAGTTGCAAGTTTAAATAAAGCTTCATTTTATTTCAGGCAACAAGTTTCTTTGCTTGCGCAAAGACTGGCTACTACTCCCAGCACAGATCCAGCACATATTACATCAGGACCACTAAAGGTAAGCCAGTGCCAACAAAAATGTATATTGATCATAGTTTGAGTTCAGTATCAAATGCTTATTATTCATTTTAGGAAGGGGAACCAAGTGACTCAACTCAGTCAAGGCCTAACCCTCCACAATTTGTCCAAGGAATTATCAGTATGTAGATTGTTAATTCATTGTTTGCAAATCTTTATTTGTTATAACTAATTTGCCACCACTTTGGTAGATGATGCAGAGCAACATCAATATGAGGAATGGCTGCTGCACACACAGCAGTTACTACAAATGCAGTTGAAATTTTTGGAGGAGCAGATTGGGGTCCACCGCAAATCTCGAAAGGCGCTCTGTGCAAAGCAGCGTACAGCAAAAAAGGCTGGCAGGGAGTTTGCTGAAGCAGATGCAGAAAAGTTGAAGTTGGTCACAGAAGAACAAAGTAAAATTCAAAAACAGCTTGACCAGGTGTGTACACTTGACAATAACAAAATAATCACTGTTTTACTTGGTAATTCACACTTGATTTATTATTACTTATATTTTTTCTACAGGTACGGAAACAGCAGAAGGAACATACAAATCTTATTGCGGAGTATAGAAGCAAACAGCAGCAGCATCAGCAAGGTTCAGGACTTCTTCCACCTGCACATCCTCCACCAGGTCACCCTCCACAAGGCCCTCCACCCCACATGTTTCCCACAATGCCTGGTCAAATGATTATGGGTCAACAGGGAGGACATGTGATGGGGCAACATGGTGGCATGTCTGTCCGGATGCCACAGGGGCAGCCCTTCATGGGAGGACCCCCACAGCCTCAACTTCCTGGTGGAGCTAGGTCCACGGGACCTTCTGGTGCCCCAGCTGGATTTTTTCCTATGGGACCTGGAATTCAAGGGGCAGACCCAAGAATGATCCAAGAAAGACAACTTCAGCACAGAATGCAGATGGCAAAGCTTCAGCAGCAACAGCAGATGATGTTGGCGCACTCTGCTCAGACTGGCGTGCCGCCCCAGACACAACTAGGTATGATGGGGAACCCGCATATTGCACAGCAACAGCCAAACCTACAACAAATTGTGGTGAATCAGGCCAATCATCAAATAAGCAGTGGTCAACCTATCTCCCAGACTTCACAAGCCTCTTTAGGAGGACATACTCACTCTGTAATAATGGCTAATCAACCAGGTGCACAACAGCAAAGGCAACAGATAGTGATGGGGCAGCAGGGACCAAGTAATCCCTGTTTTAGGAGTCCTCAAACTCCACAACAGCAAAACAGTCTGTCTCAACACATGGTGGTCTCTCAACAGCAGCAAACAGTTCAAAAAACAACCCAACTCTCCAGTCAGCCAGGTCCAGAGCAAGGAGCAAAATCTCAGCCCTCCACTCCACAAATGGACTCCTCTCCTTCAGCGGGAAGTGCCACGCCTCAACCACAGTCTGGTGTAGAAACCTCCAAATCTCCTCTACAGCAGAGTGGGCCCTCTACACCAAACCCATCATCACAAATCAGTGTCTCAGCAGATGATCAGAGTGACTTGGGAAGTCCAAAAAATCCACAGCATCAAAACCAAATCAAGAGTTCACTACAGGCAAATCAATCTACAGAACGGCAAATTACAAATGAAAATCATCAGTCTGCAAATCAACAACAGCAACCTATTCTTCAGCAGCAAGTATCAACCATGGCAGAGAAGCCTGAATGTACTGCAGTAAAACAGGAAGGGCCTCAGGCAAATCTGTGTGTTCAACAGCAGCATCAAAATGTGCCTCAGCATTCACAGGACCAAAACATCCCACAGCAGAGCTTTATTCAGACTTCACTTGGTCAGCAGGCTTCAGTTGGTCTAAACCCGCAGCACCAAGCTTTGTTAGCTCACCACCAGAAACAACAGGCCATGATGGGCATAATAAGGGGACCGCAGCAGGGTATGATGGCACCAAGGCCTGGCTTTCAAGCTCCACATATTCGTCAGCAGATAAACATCCAGGCAATCGTTGCCCAGAATCCACAGCTGCGCAACCTCCCTCCTAACCAACAAATACAACACATACAGGCCATGATAGCTCAGAGGCACTTGCAACAGGGTCAGATGATGCGAATGGCAATAAGCTCAGGCCAACAAGGGCCCTTAAGGCCCCACATGCCTCATATGCCCCCAGGCCAGGTCCCACAGATGAGACAGCCCATGGGAACGCAAACTGCAGTCACTCCACAAATGCAGCAGGGCTTAATTCCCCATGGGCCACAGTCTCCTCAGGTCGGGGAGATGATGCATCAACAGATGATGAGGGGGCAGGTTTCAATGCCGTGTACCCCAATGGATCCGAGCCGCATGTTAAGACCAGCTTCTCCACAAGTGGATCAACAACGACATCTTCTCATGGGCATGCGCCCTCCTACTCCAAATCAACTGGCTACAGCAGCCAGCCGGGTTCAAGGGTCACCCTCTCATGCCTTTTCACCCCGAGCTTCGTTTGGCATGAGCCCAGCACATTCAGCTTCACCTCATGCATCAAATGTGTCCTCACCAAGAACTGACTGTCAGGCTGGAATGGGCAGTCCATATCATGTTAAAGCTTCCCCACTCAGATCTCCTGGAGAAAAGAGTCAACTAGATTGTCCTGGACTAAAGGTTGAGACCCAGCCATCAGGCAGCGAAAGCTCCCAAACTACTGCCTGTATTCCCAATGGCCCACAGAAATATGTTAATATGCCCCAACAACCTCGTCATCTTCAGGAGAGCCCCTCTGCTCAACTCCACCAAGGAGCAGGAGGAATGTGTGAGAAAACACTTCATAACATAAAGCAGGAGCCCGGGGAAGTGCTATGTAATGTGCAGCCAGACCCTCA